CTTGATGGCATTAAATAATTGTCTCTATCTTTTTATAATTTTAGAATATATAAAAATGTTATTGTTCTCATTATTAATTAGTAACGTGAAAAAGTAAACATAAAAAAAATTACACACATGACAGCCGATGCAAAAGCTATATATAATACCGTAAGGTATATTATTATCACATTCATTTACAGCTGTTCTTCAAGGGTGTTCACCTTTTAAGAATCGCTCTGGATCCTAAGATTGGGCGGGGCTCGCTCTCCTTGGCCGTTTTGCAGGGCGTTTTGTTCTGCGATCTCATCCCGAAGAAACAAGGCTCTACGAAAATATATCTTTTCCCTCATATGTAATTTAAAATAAGTACACGTGGGTGTGTGTGTAATTGGATAAATAAGTATTAAAACATTAGATTTAGTTTCAAGCAATCCTGCCAAAGTCCAAGGGGTCGAAAAGAATCCTCAATGTCACATAAAAGTAATTTATTTAATGAGAATAAAATGAAACAAAAGACAAACATTTTTGCTAGGTCAATACCAGTCAACGTTTCACGACTTCAGGTATCATCAGGACAGAAAAGGATGATATCAGATAAATCGTTTTATCTGATATCGTTTTATTAGTGTGACTAATAAAAACTATAATTTTTGTTCAATCTTATTTTGAATTTATTAATATTAGAAGTTACCCTATGATTTATTAATATTTTATTTTTACGATACAGTTGGGAAAACATGGCACGTTTCTTCGTCATATATTCTACAGATATGTAAGTTAGTGCTGGGGCATATATCTTCCTAAATCTAACTATAATCTAAGCTCATGAGCGATTTCATTGACATTCAGAAATTGCCCAATGATCAGGGGATGATGGCATTTTTCCTTTCACGTACTTATATATGAAATATATGGTAAGGGAAACTATTGCGATTGTGATTTTTTTTACTTTCACTTCCCTACGGAGAAAGTAAGTGTTGGGATCGTGAAAATTTTCGAATCTGAGCTTTCAACGGAAATACACGATTTGAAGTCCAATGAGTTCAAATAACTGATAAATGTGTTCAAGACCCACAAAATGGTGTGCGGGTCTGTGTGCATGTTATCAGTTTAGCTCAAATACAAAAAGTCAAAATAAATTGAAAATATATATTTAAATCAAGTATATACTTGTGAATCTCAGTGGTAGGCTACTCATCCTCCAATGCTCAAGGTCCCGGGTTCGAAACCCAGCTAATGGCAGAAACATTATTTATTCTGTTTCATCAGCCGTGGGACCACCCTGGGATAAGGAGATCCTCCTTGGACACACCCATCCTCTATAATGTGGGTACCCATAATTAAATAATTAATTACGGAGGAAAACCTGGCGGTTGAGCGTAATCTCAGTTCTCTCTCAGATCCTTGCACAACCGTTGACTTTTATAAATTCCTTATATTCTTTAAAACACTTACAAATACATCAAGCCTATTATCGCTAGTTTTGGTGAATGTCCAGGCTTCTGGTCCATATATTAAGACTTAGCGAACTAAAGTGTAATAAAAATTTATTTCGATCTCATTTTCGAAGTATTTACATCAGAACTTAATTGAATGTAAAAAGAAGAAACGATTAGCCGCAATCTAATCGTTAGACTATAATTGTCCACAGGCGGATCTACGGGGGGAGGGAGGGAGAGGGGCCTCAATGCTGAAGTCCTCCCCTAAATGGTAAAATTTAACCATGTTTAATATTAAAAAATTATCTCTTAAAGTATTATTGTTCTAGTAATTACATTTAATTGGACTTCAATTATCACTTAAACACCATTTCATACAGGTAGTTACAGTCTTTCTTTTTTCCAAAGTAATTATCGTTACATATATGAGGAAAAAAGCATTCGGGCTAAGACCCTCCCAAAAATTAAATCCTGGATCCGATATTGGAATTGTCTAATATAGAGAGAATCACTTTATTATCATAAAATAAAATAAAATGGTGCTGCCCAATTACATTGGGTTGCTAACAACACAGCATACTTATTAATCACTACAGACATTATTTAAAATTATTATACAATTATAGGATTAACAATATGTATGAGCATAGTATACAATATTTTATACGTATATATATATATATATTATTTTTTTTTCCTTTTTTTTTTTTTTTTTTTATAATTTTTACTATTTCTTTCATTCATTTATTATCATTCTGTACCCTTTCTCTTCCTTCTCTCCCCCTATACATGTTCCCACTCACATTCTCTCCTCTCTCTTTCTAACCTAATACATAAAAAATTCATAAAGTACAGTGGACGTGTTCAATAAATAATAATATAAAAAATGCTGTAACACACGCATGCCTCCCCCTCGCGAGCAAACTCTCCCCCTATCCGCTCCCATGCACATGGTGGTGGATGATTCCCAGGGAGTCGAGGATTATACTCTCTGCCAACCTTGCCACGTCCTTTATGTCGACACCAAGGCCCTCCATGAAGCTCCTTGTTGAGTCTGGTATCGTTCCGCGAGCTCCGAACCAAAGGCCTCTCACGTGGAACTCTCTCGGCCCGAAACTCTCGCGGAACTTTTCACTAAGGAAAGGGATGCATTTCTCATATATCTGTTTTTTCTCCCTTTCCACTTTTTCTGCCTGATCGAGGTCGTTGGTCTCATATCTCACGGTCGGATCCAAAATCATCGCCGACTTTCCCGTCTTAGAGAATGCTACAATGTCGGCATATCGGGTGGATCCATCCGTATCTATACAATATACTTCCTCGAAACAGGCGTATTCTCTCTCTTCAAGGAGCCTCATCAGTTCATGCTTGACTCTGTGGTGACGGCGTGTTATAAGGAGGGAGTTGTTGGGGCATTTTCCAAGCACATGTGCTGGTGTTTCTGGCTCTCTGTCGCATTTGCGACAGAGGGACCCAACTTCTCTTACCTGTCCGCTGACACCTGGGACTCCACGCAGGGGAGCATAATTAATATTTAGTTTCAGGGCATTTGACCATTCAGACCCAGAAAGTACTTGCTTATCATACATGTATTTATTGGCTTTCGGGGTCTCTTTAAAATGGCGAACTCCAATGCCCTGCCACCTGCAATTGGTCCATTCCTCAAACGAATTTTCTCGAAGCGACTGCCGTAGAGCTCTCATATTCCGAATACCCCGATCAACCCCCAATCTCTCGGCACATTCATCAACCTCAGCCGAATAATCAAAGATCGACTGAAAAAGGGCATCGGGCACATTGGACAGTCGCTGAGCAATGGACCAATGTTGTAGAGGAGCCTCCCATTGGCAGCGGATTAATCCTAATCCTCGATACCTCCTGGGAGAGTACAACATCGCCGTGGAGGTGTTCGCAGGGAGTCCAACAATAGCCTTCACACTCCTGCGAATCATGGTGTCGATGCCGTCAAGTACGGCAGGACGCAGCTTTGTGAGGGGCGCAGTTTGGAGAGGGTAAGTAAGACCCGGGAACAGATATTGGTTGACAATGTTTAGCTTCTGCTCCGGCTTCAGCAAGGGAGAGGTTACCAGTTTATTCAGGTTTTCGTTCAATCTGGTCACCGTATATCTTCCTAGATACATTGGTTTGAGAGATAAACTCAGAAATACATTACACTTAAGTAAAATTTATAATTAAAATTTCATAGCCATAAATTTTACATTTAAACACCATTTTATTATTTTTTTTTTTTTTGGTCAATTCAATCATAAGTTAAATCAATTGTAAAAACTTACTGCACTCTTACCTCTAAACAGATAAACATAGTTCTGCCATAAATACTGTTACAAATGTACAACTTTGTTTATATCTTTGGATATTCTTTAGATAATCCTTACTTCTATCACGTTATTTTCTTTACCTGCCATGATAATAATCCCAATTAGTTTGTATTTTTTTCTTTTCTTCAGTTAACATGGAGTGGGGTGATAAAGAAAACCTAATAGCTGTGATCGCCTTACACAAAGTTGGAAAATGTAGGTCAGAGATTTTCATCACTTTTTGGGTATCAGCCGTATGTTAGTGTACCGCGCTATAAATATATATAATAGGACCCTATCTGTATGTGACAGACCTCGACCGAGCCGTCCCAGCACTGTGAGACGACATATTCAGTGAGAGCTGTGGCTGCTCGAACCAGAAGATATCCCGTTGGAAAACAGCAAATCATGGCTCGGTTTTCTCTGTCAGATCAATGTCTCGCATGATAAAAAGTGACCTTAGGATGGGTGCCCTTCGAAGAATGACAGGGCAAAGGCTAAAAACTTCCCTAAAAAAAATTAGATAGATGCAAAGTGCTCCTTGGGCGTTACACCAATAGTCTTCATCGAAAGATTTTGTTTAGGGATGAGAACATTTTTACAATTGAAAAAACTTTTATCATCGCAATGATCGTATGCACGCACACAGCTGTAAAGAAGAAGAGGAAGTCATTGGAAGAGTGGAAAGAGGTCATCACCCTTCCTCAGTGATGGTTTGGTGGTGAGTTTTCTTTGATAGCACCACAAAGCTCCATTTTTGAGAGAAAAAAAGGAGTTAAACAGCCGCTAAAAACTATCAGGACGATATTTTGGAACATGTTGTCAACCCTCTAAATGATAATCTGCTTGCTGGAAGTCATTGGGTTTTCCAGCAGAATTTCAGAGTTCATCTCTGCCTCAGATTGGCCCTCAGGAAGCCCTTATCTCAACCCACTAGATTATCGGCTTTGGTCCGAACTGGAGAGGATGGTATACCACAAAGCACACCTTAACTTGGAAAGTCTCAAACAATCTCTGATGTGAGCAATTCATCGCTTTCCTCAAGAAGAGCTGCGTGCTGCTATTGCCGACTGACCGCTGAGATTAAATGCCTGTGTCAAGGCAAAAGGGGGACATTTTGAGTAATTTATTTTTTGTATTACTCTCTGTAGATATACATTTTATTTTCAAATAAAGTTTTTGAAAAAATTAATTTTTCTTTAGAAATTCGTTTATATCTTCTTGTAACAATATTTATGATAGGACTAGGTCGATCACGAACGACAACACACGTTGTTAGTTGTTGAGTAGGTTACAAATTTCGTTAGGATTGTTTACTTTAGGAATAACGTAATTTAATAAAAAAAAACTGTGAGTAAATATGAGTAAGGTAGCAAGAAACAAACAAAACTCTAACATTTCCGTTAGGAATGATAAGAATTCTATTAGAAAGAAGTATATTGATCTTAAATTAAACAAAAAAGTTAAAGGTAAGTAATTTCATACAAAATATAAATTTAATGACCCCAATGTAATATTATTAACTTCCTATGCAGCATTCATGAATATTTTTCTTGTAGTACAATTATGGGAGCAGAGACGACAGAAAAATTTCAAAAGGAGATATAATAAAGAATTTAAGAGGAATGAAATCACTCCAAATGAGGAGTATAAAGAGAAAGGAGAACCTTCAGAAAACAATCAAAGGTATGCTCTTTTGTTTTAAGCATTATTCACTTAGCTCCCTTCAGTAGCTCCACTTAAAGTACCAATTTAACAGCTAAGGAAAAGAAAGATTTTAAGCTGAATTGTGATATAATTGGTTAAGTCATGCTTCGCTCATAGAAGCTTCAATAAAACATTATTATTGGCTATTTGGTGCCGAAAGATTTAAAATTAAAAATTTATTAAATGAAACTTTATAGATGGTAGGGTACCTGTGTATGTTATTAGCCAGTTAACTACGTCACTTACCTAAAAAAAATATATACAAGTATTAATGTACATAGTAAAAACTGTTTGATTTGTAAATGACTAAAGTGTTGGTTATGATTGAAATTGTAAGAAGAAAATTAGAACACTGTACACTGTACCACTGCAAGCTATAAAGTGTTTTGGGTTCATTACTCTGTAAAGCTGGTTTGACCAAGATCACATTGAACAACCTGATTTTTCATCATAATTAAGTAACCATTCTAAAGAGGCTGGGTGTGCCCCTAGAGAATCTACTGACCCCAGGTTTATTTATTGTTTCCTGTTACTTTTATCAATTATGTATATAACTTATTTTATTTTAATACACTGAACGCTAATTTTGAAACTTAATTTCTTATGAATGTCTGCAGTAGCTTTCCTTTTCTTTCTCCTTTCCATTGCCCTTTTAAAGTATGTTATGTTAACTATGTGCTTTAATAATATCTACTATCTTTGAAAATCACATTATGCAACAGGATTCATTTTCAGTTTAGAATTACTTTACAAGCTAAATAACTAACAGCGGATATTTCATTTTTGCATATGAGGATATGATTCCATTATTATTATTATAGTAAAGTGATGGGCAGCCTTGCATCACAGTGGCTCATTATTATCTTTTGTGAAAATGATTTCTCTATCTTCATAAAAAAAGATACATTTATTTTATAGTAATATAAAGAAATATAAAATATTTGTTTGGGATTGAATAGCTTTAACATTGACTCTGACATAGAACACCAATGTTTATTGCCCTTAAGTGTGGCAGATTGAATGGTTTCTCAATAAAAACTATTATTCACAAACAAATTTATAGGTGATACAGATGATGTGATGAGACCAAAGTTCAGAAAAGTGAGACTTTGTAATTTAATGTTTTTGTATTAGTTGTGAATTTAAGTCATATTTTAATTGAATATTTTCAATCTTACTTATAAACACGTAAGTTTTGTCAAATTTCATTTCTATCATTTTTCATTGAACTCCTCCAGTTACTTTAACTTCTAGATGTTATATTCTCTGTTATATCTATATTGCAAAAATTAGTTGTGATTCCTGTAAGGAACATTTTTTTTTTAACAATATCTAAAAAAAAGATAGCTTAATTCTTATTTCTTTCCATTATTACAGCCTTCAGTGAACTATTTCTTACTTTAATGTGTCTGGCAAACCAAAGTGATTGAGTATTTTAACTATTCCTTTGATTAACTTCTATAAGAGTTAACGAAAGGAATAATTCCACTGGTTAGGTTTAGAAATTTTCTTACATGTGAACATGTATTTAATTCATTCTTTCTCTTTCTTCCTTTTTCTTTTTCATTCTAAATTATTTATTCTGTTTCATCAGTTGTGGATCAGGAGATCCTTCAGGGACACACCCAGCCTTTATAAAGTGAGTATCCTTAATCAAATAATTGATTAAGGGGGAAAACCTGGCGGTTGAGCATGATCTTGGTCAAATTGCCTCCTTGAACAACTGTGACCAAGACACAGTACTTCCCTGAATAGTATTGAACCCAAGACTCTTCATGGAGTGCAGAGATCAAACTCAGAATGTTAGATAATAATGTTAATTTTAATTTTTTTTTGTTCCAGAATGGGCGTTTTTAAAGCAGCCCATCTTGAAATCAAAAGAAGAAAAGAAGAGAAACAAAGGCTTTTGCAAGAAAAGCTTCAGAAAAAAAAAGAAATAGAACAGGCAATGAATGAATATAAAAAGAAAAAAGCCGAAAAATTCAAAAAATTATCAAGGAAAACTAAACGTGGGCAACCTGTTATGAGAGACAGGATACAGCTTTTATTTGAAGAAATAAAACAAAAAATATCAAATGAAAATACATGAGAAATAATTTGTTTACCAAAAATAAGATATAATTGATCTGTGTGACTTTCATTGCTTAACCTATTGATTGTTTTATGAAATATATTGTAAATAAATGAAGTTATAATGTTGTTTTGCTATTGAAAGAAAGTAATTTTTATTCTGAGACATTTAGTCCCCCCAGAATAACTATAATGAACAAAGAAATGACAATTGTTTGGCGATTATGAATAATCAAATGACAATTAAAAATAAATTAATTTACAAATTTATCTAACCTTAATATTAGAATAACTAAAAGATACTGTAGTAAATATATGATCTTGGAGTAGACATGAAATTTAAAGATAAATAGATACGGGTAAGTATACGTATTTGTATAAATAAGCAATATGACATACATAGATATCTGCAAGATATTGGTATAATATAGCTGATATCTTTAAAGTACAAAATAACTTTATTTTTACATATATTCGCAAGATTGATTACTAAGGAGATGGAAAAATAAATTCTGTTTAAATGAGGTCAAGGAGGATTTTGGAGGATGAGGATTTTCGAATAGAGGTAGGTAGCTAATTCCAAAACGAGGTAGCACGTATAATGAAGGATTTCTCTATAAGAAGGAAAAACAAATTTCGAGGATTGGGATCTTGTGTTGAACGAATGAATAGAGGAACAAGCAGTAAAGAAATCAAGAAGGTTTTTTGGTTGTAAAGGTTTTGAAAAGGAATATAGCTAGAAAATATTGCCATAGGAAAACTGGATAGAGCCACTTCAACTCGGCATAGCAACTGGAGACTTGGGGGCTCCCAAGTATATATCTAATGAAACAATTCATTAGTCTCTTTAATCTGATCTCAAATCCACCAGACAGTCCACCGTATACAAGGCAGCCATAATCTTAGTGAGGAGGAAGCTAGGAGCTGACGGATTTTAAAGGGCATAGAATCACGGAATCTCAGGAACTGTTTGAGGGTAGCAATGGACTTTCGGATAATTTGGGAAATGTGATTATTCCAGGACAGATGTTGATCAAACATTACTCCAAGGTTTCTTGCGGGAGAGTGGAAATGTATGGGTATCCCATTGAGGTAAAGTAGAGGATAATAAGAAATAAGGTTAATCAGATGCTTGGATCCAATGAGAATGGCTTGGTCTTCTCAATATTCAATTTTAAGTCATTGTTTGCTGCCCAGGTATTAATACTGTCGATATCTTCTTGTAGCCTTCGGATCGCCTCAAGCATCTCGGTAGGATGGAAGGAAAAGTAGATTTGGAGATCGTCTGCATATAAATGGTGTTGTGAGTGATGGGTGGAATCAGGAAGGTCATTAATATAGATGTAGAAAAGAGTTGGGGAGAGCGAAGATTCCTGCAGAACACCACGAATTAGTAAGAGGAGAGAGGAAGGAGTTTTATTGGGAATGATGACTGTTTGGGATCTTTGATAAAAAAAAGAATGGAACCACTTTAGAGCACTATTTAATATGGAAAGGTTTTGGAGTTTAGTAAGGAGAATTTCGTGATTTACAGAATCGAAAGCCTTTGAAAAATCAAAGAGGACTAGGATCGAGATTTTCTGTTTGTCTATAGAGAAATGAAGGTACTGGGAAATTTTCAGCAAAGCAGATTGGGTGGATAACTGGGTTCAGAAACCAGACTGGGAGATTGAGAAGAGCTTTTTGCTCAAGGAAGGTATTAAGCTTTGAGTGGACTATTCTTTCAAGAGGCTTTGAAAGATTGGAGATAACAGAGATGGGTCTGAAATCAGAAACTTTGGAGGGAACCGGAACTTGGCTGAGAGGGCGGGCAATAAATTTTTTCCAAGGTGACGGGAAACAGGAATTTTGAAGGAAAAATTGTAGATAGGCAGTAGGACAGGAAGGCATAATTTGATTAACTTCGCAGGAATTAAGTCTGGTCCATGGTCGTTTGTTCTGGATTTTGAGATAGAGAAAAGTAGGTTTTCTGGTAAAATATTTGTAAAATAGAAATTTTCAGGGTCAAAGGAAGCTTTGGGAATATGGTATGAGGAGGAGAGTGGTAATGAGTCAGGATTGGCAAAGTGGGAATTCAGTTGATCTGAAGAAACAGGGTAGGAGGTGCAGGTTTTTGATTTTACCAAGGAGAGATTTTTAAGGATTTTCCATCTGGACTTAGGATCTGAGGCTTGTGATAAGGAAGTATGAAAGAATTGTGCCTTAGCACGTCGCAAGGAAGATTGGGTAAGGTTTCAAAGAGTATTAAAAGAGAAGTAGTCATCTGATTCATCTGAAACGCCTCCTTGCAGCATCTCTTCTCTTCATGAACTCTCTTATTTCTGGATTAATCCAGGGGGCTGAAAGTTGAGGTCTTTAAGGGGGCATCCTGATTTAGGAATAGAAGAAGGTTTAAGGAAAGACACTCCACCATTTCATCAATAGAGGAGTAGGAATAGATTAGATCTAAGGATTGGGCTAGTGATTCGAGGAAAGGACTTAGTTTTTCAGAGGTCAATGAGCCAAGATTCCACCATGTAATTTGCCTCGGAATGAACTTAGGAGTCTGGACATTATAGGAAATCTTGATGAGAAAGGAAGAAAACAGAATTATGAGCGGAGGATACTAAGTTTTGAGGGGAATTGATTAGAAAAAGGTCGAGCCATATGCTTCAGAACTGGGTATGAAAATTACATAATTATTTAATGAAATTTTTTACTAAGGTTAAATTCTAATTGATCATTTTAATCTTTTGTATTTTTAAACTCTAGTATTTAATAAATATTATTAACTGAAACAGTGAAAATGTGACAAAAACAACAAAGATTATTGAATTAAAGATAGTGGTACAAGCAATTGTATGGAAAATACTTCTGCCATGCAGTAGGCCCACTGATGCTTTTCATTGAGTGTTATATGAAAAATTATAATTAATTCCTTTAATGTTAAGATACATGGATTAATAAACATGGTAACAGTCTATAGTTTATTTATAACTTCATTTATTTACAGTCAGCAATTATAATATATATATTTACAATACAATATGATGCATTAAGCAATAAAAACCACACAGATCAATTATGTCTTATTGTTGCTAGACAAATTTTTCTCATGTAGTTTTCAGTTGATTTCGTTTTATTCATCATGAAAGTGAATGGATTAATATATTTACACCTACCTCATTCTTCCTAATGTGAAGAATGGCTAGAGGCTGCTGAGGATAAGATAGGTTCACCTACAAAAAATAATATTTTACTGCTAGGTATTAAATATAAAACTATTATTTTAAAAATAGTTATAAATCATAAATATATTGTTCTATAAAATATAAATTTTATTTCTCCCACTTTTTTGTTATTCGTGTTTCATATTCTTATTAAATCACCAGAAGAAACTAAGTTTTTTTTTTCTATCAATAGGAATAAAATGATACCTAATTGTTTATATATGTATATATTAAACTGGATAGTATTTTTAAATAAAACTGTTTAAATTATTTCAATTTGTATTTATTTTTGAGTTTTTCAAAGTTGAAGTTCTCAAAATGGTTTTTAAATATTCTATACTACATTTCATAGTAGATTATTCATTTCTGTCTAATGCAAGAGCTGTTATAAACTCAGAGAAATGATGAATTTATATATAGGGACTGAGAAAGTTAGGTGTATATATTATTTTTTTTATTAGAGATAAATGGAGGGAAACTACTTAATTTCACCTGCAAAGACAAGTTAAATACCCATAATGAAACAATTTTAAGTATATCTACAATTTAAATGTACCTTTAGGCAAAACGAAGTCAAATCCGACATAAGTGAAGACAATAGTCATGACACATTATAACTAATATTATTCAGATTAAACTTCATTTCTTAAGTCTGTTCGCCCAAATCACAACTGCTACCAATTGTATTCAAAATCATTTTAAAATTTGGAATTATCAGTTTGTAATGAAATATTATTGGCTATGTATACGTTTATATGTATGTATATGTACGCTCATAAATATAATACAAGGTGGAAATATTTGAATCTAGAAATATTGAAAAATATTAGAGCCATCTACGTGCCATATCAACAAGCTGGATGGAGAGGGGGGGGGGGCTACGTATTGTTAGGAACAATATAACATTATAAAGTGCATAAGAAAAATTTACTTTATCCTATTAATAAAAATAACTGATTTAGGGACAAAGTGAATGAAACACTTTTTAAACTTAATGTAATATACAAAGTCTCATCTCCATCCCCACATATGTATAACATTCCCTTAAATTTTATTTTGGGGAGAAGAAGATGGGGGCGCTATTGCCTAGAGGCAGTTATCTCCTCTAAATAGTTTACTAAATTAGCATTATCGAATTTCAAAGAAAAATACTTATATCGCTATTGTTAGTGAGCGTATGTAAAAATTGCGTACTACTCAAAAACGTTGAAACTGGAGTTTGCCATTCTGTAAACTGAAAGGCTCATTTATTAGTATAATTTCATATTTGATTCCCTCTGCTATTTTCCTATTTAGCGGAATACTTGTAGCAATTGTAGTCTACAAAATGTCATGTTAATCCATAGAGAATAAACATGTAAAATTGTTACATACGACCTTTTTAACTAACAGTAGCGATATGTGACATTGGCATTCAATATCTGTATACAACATAATTTTAATTCCAGATTTCTTTTATCTTGAGTGTTACTTGACCGCATGAATCGGCAGAGTATTTCTACCTCTTTGCACTAATAGGCATAAATTTGAAATTTTATTTTGGTTATTGGTATGTTCGAATAAGTGTATTGTTATTTGTATTATTGATTCAAGATTTAGCATGAGGTGCTAATTACTTACTGAATAGAGGAATTTAAAATTTAAAATATTTCTGTTATTTAAAAAAATATATGTTATTTTAATCTTCTATAGTTATCTTTTTTGTAAACTTTATGATTTTAAACAGAATTTTTGCACAAACGTTAAATAGAAACGAATTTTCAAGGTCACTAACTTATTTGAGGATGTCTATTGAAACATCCAGTCAAAATTCCTTGATTACTGATTTTAAAAATTTTAAATTTTCACCATTTAAATTATTGGATTTGAAAACTGAGACAAACCGAGACAACTATGTTAGGAGATTCATCAAAGGTGTAATTTTTTCTCATGTCACCCCTACTCCATTGTCCAATCCCAAATTGGTATCATTTTCTGAAGATGTATTGAAAAATATTCTTGACCTAGATCCTAGTGTGGTTGAAAACCAAGAATTTATTGAGTTTGTCACTGGTAATACTCTCATTGCTTCTTCTACACCAATTGCTCACAGATATGGAGGTCACCAATTTGGAGTTTGGGCCTCCCAACTTGGAGATGGTAGAGCTATTCTTCTTGGAGAGTACTTAAATAGGTAGATTTTACTTGAGAGTTATACTATTGGATTAAAAACTGTGTTTACCCGAACCTCTTTAACTTTTATTGTTAGGAAAGGTGAAAGATGGGAACTTCAGTTAAAAGGGTCTGGCAAAACGCCATATTCAAGGGATGGAGATGGTCGTGCAGTCCTGAGATCTTCAATACGCGAATTCTTATGTTCTGAAGCTATGCATTGTTTAGGTAATAAAAAATAAATTGATAATTTTTAAGCTTAATTTTTTAACTCTGATAGTTTTGTAGACAAAACCTTTTGAATGGCAGCCACTAAAAACATTCATGAATATTAAATGAAATTTTAATATCATACATTTATGTCTTATAAACCTTTAAAAAAATGTTTGAATTATTATAATTTTTTTTATAATATAATTGAAGGGTCATAAAAACTTTATTTTTACTGTTATCTGAAAAATGTGTTCAGATGATGAATGAGTTATTTGACTTAAAATTACTGAAAAATGAGTTATTTAGACTTATATTTTATTTGAAGGTATTCCTACGACGAGGGCCGCTACAATTACTGTAAGTGATGATATGGTCGTCAGAGACCCATTATATGATGGACATCCACAGCTAGAGCCTGCTGCTGTTGTTCTACGCTTAGCTCCTTCTTGGTTCAGAATTGGCTCTTTAGAAATTTTATCCAAATATGGTGAAATAGAAATGTTGAAGGATCTAATTGATTTTATTGTAAAAGTAATTATTTTTTATAACTAATGAATGTTAATACCAGGTCTTCATCTATATATGATCATCTTAACAATAATTTTAATTATTAAATAAATATCCCTCTAATAACACCTGTACCTTTCTTTATGCATATCAATAAAAAAATTAATTTTGTCTCTTTTCATTCATTGCAGTAAAAATATAATGGATAGACTGCTTTTTAAAATGGTAATGCATTCAGAAGTGCTGGAATTTCCCAGTCCTGTTTTCTCTATATTTGTAGAGGTTGTTCTCTTTATTTATAGAGAAAAGTCTGGCACAAGCGCCTTTAAACTGATTGTAAATAGTTTATATAATTATGGTTATAAATCTGTGGTGTTTGGGTTTATTATTTTTTATTTTATTGATTATTTAATAGTTGACCGTTGTATTATAGAGAAAGGTCGAAACGTCGAAAGTCGGGTCGAAACATTGGCTTTTAATAAAATAGTTTTGCCACTATTTTAGTCTATTTAGGACCACCACCCTGGACCATCTTCTTCCTCTATGAATTTTAAATTTGATAAAATGGATACAGGAAAATGAAACAGTACTCACATGGAATGAAAAGTTCACCAAAAACAAATAAAATATTAATTAAATCTATTGCCACAAAACAATGACATACCTCTTTACTCGAATTATGAATTTGAAACTGCAGAATTATGAATTATTAGATATTTTTTATTTGTTTTAATTAAAAAAACAACACTAGAAATGTTCATTCTTCACCAATAAATCAATATTGGTCTGAAGTTTTATTAATTGTTAGTTAAATATTGTATTTGATTTAATTTAATATATATTTTTGATTTTTCTGTTTGGACTAGGAGCATTTTCCTGAAATAGAAAACGATGAAAACATGATTCCGAATTTATTACAAAAGATTTTTCGTCTTACTAGTGAGTTGGTTGTGAAGTGGCAATCGGTTGGGTTTACACATGGTGTTCTTAATACTGATAATATGAGCCTTATTGGTCTAACAATTGATTATGGTCCCTTTGGATTTATGGAAGATTATGACATGATGTATGTGCCTAATCATTCCGATTCTGAAGCCAGGTATTGCTATGGACGTCAAACTCAAGTAAGTTGTTACTTAGGACATTTTTGAAATCTATTTAATATACAATTAAGGTATATATTAGACATTATTTTAAAAGAAATGTTGGAAAATATATTACACAATTAAGATCATTATGATCAGCTATCTGCCAAAAATATGTTTCACGGTTCTTTTTATTATTTTGCTTTGGTAGAGGGTCTACCATAATTTGTCAAATATTTTATAACTAATATCAATCCATTGATTATGTAAATCCAAATGTGAATTGTTAATTTCAATTCCAAAACAAGCATTATTTTAAAAGATTAATAGGCTATAACCAATATTCCTGCTAGTTTAAAATTTATCTAAAAATGAATACATATTAATATAAATGAGTTGTATATGCATATTATTTTATTTCATTATTTTAGATTGTTTTGTTAAACATGCTAATGTTGACAAAAGCAGTTTCGCCCCTACTCGCCCAAGAGCAATTCGAAATGGTTGCTAAAATGCTGCAAAGTGAGGCCAAGTACACAGATGATAAAATTGTGTTAGTAGAATTTGGTTTATAGCAACCATACTGCTGTTCTATCTCATTCTTCACAATAAATAAATACGTATGTAAAGTTATTGTTAATTTTTTTTTTCTTTCTTCCAGAGAGGTTTTTTCTAGTAAGCTAGGGTTCGATGATAGTCAACCGCAACTAATTGAAATACTTTTAGCTATGTTCAAAGAAACTAAAGCAGATTTTACAATGGTTTTTCGAGAACTAAGTGAAACTCCACTTTCATCACTAACTAAACCTGCATCAAAGTTGTGGGCACTTAAGGTACTTAGCAGGCATAAGGATTATAATTCATTCGTAGAAAAATATAAAGAAGAATTGATTAAGTCAGGTATGAATGCACTTTTATAAATATGTTTATACAAATAATTTAACTGCTTAAATATATTCCTGACTAAAATTAATAAACCACTTAGTTATTTCATCAATTTCTATTTATTAATACTTTGGTAATATTATTTTTAAGTAGAGTATAAACAATAATCAAATCTAGAAAGTTGAAATCATAAACCAAAGACGAAAAAAAAAAAATAAACATTGTTAAAAATAATAATTAAAAAAAAATCCCGAAAATTAAAATTATATTTATGGCTTCATCAGTATTTAGTGTGTATTCTATACCTTAATACTGAAAATACTAATTAACTGTTGTAAATAACTCGTGATTGAAAAACTTGAAAGTTTTTTCAAAACATCAATGTATAATTTTGTAATTGGTAAATGGTTGACTGTTGTGGATAATGAAGAGAAGAATAGTTGGGGTGGTCAGTCAAAAATGAAGGCAAAAATAAATGATAATATTTATTTTTACATATGCCGACGTTTCAACCTGAAGTTCAGGTCTTCATCAGGGCTAAGAAAATAACCAGATAACAAGGTATGAGAAACATAAGTAGTGATGGTAAAAGAAAAAACAAAAAAAAGAAAATAATAATAAAATAAATAAATATAAAGTAGAATGAAATTGTTAGAATAATGACTAAGAACTAAGAGATGAATAATAATAACCGTTACAAAGTGATTAAGATTCCCATTGTAACACTTATGTCACCCTTTTTGATTATGCCTAATTCATCATTCCACACTTTGTAACGGTTATTATTATTTATCTCTTAGTTCTTAGTCATTATTCTAACAATTTCATTTTACTTTATATTTATTTATTTTATTATTATTATTTATTTATTTATTTTTTCTTTTACCATCGCTACTTATGTTTCTCATACCTTGTTATCTGGTTATTTTCTTAGCCCTGATGAAGGCCTGAACTTCAGGTCGAAACGTCAGCATATGTAAAAATAAATATTATCATTTATTTTTGCCTTCTTTTTTGACTGACCACCCCAACTATTCTTCTCTTCATTATAATTTTGTAAGATATCTAAAAAAAATAAACAGCCTTCTCTGCATACAAATAAAAATATCAAAGCAACCTCTTTGACAATAAAACAAAATAAACATTATCTGTTATATTAACTTAGGATTCTTTATTTGGCATACAAATATAAAACAAGTTATATTAATTGACCTAGCAATAGTTCCTTATTTTAATAATCTTATTAAGTTAGTAATATAAATACTTAATGACAATTATATTCTTAATACCTCCTCATAGAACCCATAGCTCCCTGAAATCGGGTGCCAAATATGATTAATCTTCAAGACCTCTGTTTTATAACACTTATTTGTTATTAAACTCAAGAAGTAGTCAGTTAAAATTTCATTGAGTAAAGTCGACTCAGTAGGAAGTTTAAATATTCATACAATTTTGCATTGAGTATACAATATTTGTTAATATTAAGAACAAGGCTATAGTACATTTAACTTACAATAGCAAAAATAAAAACATAGGTATCAGTGACAGCAGTAGAATGGAAAGGATGTGCCAAATTAATCCATGTTATGTTCTGAGAAACTGGATAGGACAACAGGTTATTGACAGAGCTGCTTCGGGAGATTACTCAGAGGTAAAGTTCTTAATTATTTTATTATAACTATATAATCATTGTTACTTATTATTTATTTAAGTTGCCCAGTTAAAGGGTAATTTACCAGTATAGGAATTATTAGAAATAATATTCATTAAATGTCAAGTACCTGTCATCCATATATATATATTTTTTGGTCCACATATTTTGTCTTCTCCAATGTTAGCTGCCTATCATTTCATTTCAAACTGAACAATTAATCATCATTTCTCTTTGATTAAGTTCATTTTCATATTTTTTTTTTAAAACATATTACATTGTATTTATAATTATTATAAATTCAGTGATCTTTTAGTTCTTTGTATATAAAATTCTCCAGCCTGCGTCAAGAGTGGATTTCTGTTGACCCTATTTTCATTCCAGTTATTTTTGCAAAATATGAATTGTTTACTTTTCACAAATTGGGGTTTTAGAATTAGGAAAATAAAGATTTAATAATATTTTTTTATTTTTAGTTTACTTTTATGAAAATCTTTAATGTTAATTGAGATATTATTTTTTAGGTTAATGAGTTGTTAAAAATTCTGAAAAATCCATTTTCACGACAAGATGAGGCTGAACGCAGAGGATACGCAGATGTTCCTCCATCATGGTCTAAATCTCTTTGTTTAAGTTGCTCTAGTTAAAAGAAGAAGTTGTTAAGAAATATCGTTGTTTATGTAATTAAGAACGGATTCCATGACATGTATCATTGTGCAATAATAGTGATGAGCTTTTATTTTATATATATATATTTAGCTAATATTATTATAAACTATAAATATACAGTAATTTCCTATTAGAATATAATTAGATCTATTTTGGAAGAAAGTATGCGAATCCTTATAGTTCAAGGGTGAACGTTGTGAAGATAATTAAACCATGTTTCTTAAAAGATATCTCTTTGAAATAACATCAATCAAGAATTTTCTTCAACCTTCAAGAACCTGTTTATTTTTCTGTTTAGCTAGGCATTGTAATTTATTTTGATACCTTCATAATATCAGAAACATAATACTTAGGGAGGGGGGGGGAAAAAGAAGCATTTCATCACTGATTTTTGCTATTTTATCGAGAATGTAATCTTTTAGAAAATTACTAAATGCCTTTGAATGATTTGTGGAAGTCAAATTCTAGTTGAAAAATTAATTTTTTTGTTACAGTTTAACTTAGTTTATATTAATTACTTGTTATTCGTATTTATATTTGTTAATTTTTTTTTATATAAATAATATAAAAAGTGTTTATGATGAAAAATGGTTAGGATGCGTAATAAAAAAATTATGTTTAATGAGGTTGTTGATATTTTGAACCCAAACATGTCGGTCACTACCAGGCCAATGGTTTGAAGGCCCGGGTAATAACTCGAATTTGAGTTTATCTTTGGCCTTCAAACCATTGTCCTATTACTTGAAGCTTTTATTGAATTATTTTGAAGCTTCTGATTTGAATAAATATCTATTTAGATATGGATTGGGACTATGGTAATAACAATATTACAACTCTTAAAAACATTGTTTTATTTAGCATTAGAAATAACACTAACCTGTTATTACTTGGAAAAAGGTTACCTCAATGCTTAATAAAGAAGTATAAAATCAATACACAATAACAATAGCTTAAAATACATATATGATAATCTAAACGAATTGCATAAAACTAACATTTTAATGGTATTTTTTTATTCTTTATTATTATTTTATTTAAGAAAAGATAACTTGTGATGTATCGAAAAAAATTAAAATAATTTAAAGTGCTAAGAAATTTTTTAAGTGAGTAATCACTTGAATTGTATAAATAATGTGTTTCTCCTTTAAAGATAACAAATATAAAAAACATTAAACACATCTAAAGCAATTTTGACTAAAATAGCTGAAAAGTGTCAGCTGTAAAATAAATAATAAAATATTCAGCAAATAAATCACAGACGAGGAATAATATAAATTAAGATAATTTTAACTAAGGAGTTAAAATTGTTGATATTCTTATGATTCCATCACTGGCAGCAGAAATGCATGTAGCACATTGATTAGCAGTGGACCAATCGCATGCTGTCAGGGGACTTTTATGATCTCGCAGGTGTAGCATCAACTGAAGACCACAATTGGTTATCTAAAATAAAATGAAAATTGCAATTTAATGTCTGTTTTCTTCTATCATATTGAAAATTAGCAGCAAATGTATAGCTCCACTCTCCAACTATATCAATAGAGCTTAACAGCTTTAAATAAGTAAAAACTACAAATATTACAATTTAATAGAAACAGTGATTCAAAAAGGTTAAATTTTTAAATGACAATCTTTCATAAGTAGCAAAAATTTAGATCCTAAATGGTATGGAAAAACAATGACATCAGAAAATATCCTCGATTTTTATTCTAATCATTTAAAAACTCAAATCATTATTAATGGCCATTTATAAAAATGTAAATATAGTGAATTAAATAAATTTAGTTGCCAAATAGTTCTGAAATATAGAGGGTATGACAGTCCTCAGCACTCAGTAGGATGGTGTCCTACAAAGAGGAGTCCTATTCTTGGAGACATCAGTAAATAAAATTTTATTCAATTGTTATTTATTTAAAAACAAAAATTTTAACCTGAAATCTTTTCAAATATGATATGAGACGAAGGACAAGAACACTTCTAATCTTTTATGTTTTTTAAATAGACAAAGTAATAGGTTTTGGCCTGATGTGATAATAATTGCATGACAATTAAAAATTATGTAATACATTAATTTGTAATGTTATTAATTATTTTATTAATTTATTCTATTTGATGTGTTATAATTATAGAGATGAATAAAGTGCATGGACACTGAAAGCTACTCTGGAAATTAAGTTGTTAAAATATTATAGAGACTGTCATTGGTAAAAAAAATCCTGATTCTAATCTGTTCCTAACCATATTAAGCAGAATTCCAAAAATGCAGTAAAATACAAGTTATAAAATAAATTAGTTTACAAAATTAAAATATAAATTTTAAACAGTAAATACCTGATAAATGTTGGTTCCATTTTCACCACAAGCTATAAGTACATGTTTTCCATTTTGATGAAGAGAAAAACACTGGGTTCCATGTTGTGTAGAACAACCAGGCAAAGTAGCAGTCCAAACAGGCTCCGGATTTAATTGTGCCAAATTATGACGACAGAGCTTGAAATTAATAATGATTAATTCTTAAACAGAATAATAATAGAGTTACTTAATTAAGAACATTAGTTTGGTTTAGATGAATAAAAAATTAACTGTTGATTGTTATTGCAATTGTGTACTTGATTGAATTACAGTGTACAGACACAAGTAAATTTTACATATTTGCAGAAGTTTCAATATGGAGTAAGTGATAGAACAGGAGTTTGACTGAATTAGTGGACGAGGTTTAACGTATGAAGTTAGGTAGAGAGATCCAAAAGGAGCACGAATGACGAAGGATTTGCTGAAGGAAGTAGTTTTATCGGAGGAGATATTTAAATCTATAGATTGAGACCTGATATTGAGGAAAGTAGAGTAAGAAGTGTAAGGATATAGGGAAGGTTTTTGGTTTTGAACTTGTTTTTTGTACTTGTTATTTCAAAGAGACTTGGGGATCAATCAATACAATGGTTTAGTAATTTTTAAGGAATCAAGTATTTCAAATAAATAATAATTCCTATTTAAATTGTTTAACAACTGTAAAATATTTTCTGGTACCAGAAATATAATTACCAGCAGATTTATAATCACTGAGAAAAGTTTGATCTTCTTTTTCTTTCAATTTGTGCAACTAATTTATCCAAACTTTAGGATTGCTATAAAATATCTTTAAAAAATTTGTATACATTCAATACCTTATGGTCTGAACCGAACGTATAGAAAGTGTTATGGTCTTGAGCAATATCTAAACCAGCGATAGGCCCATCATGAACAAGGCGTTTCTGTAGACAGTCTCCATTCCGAATATCAAGTATTCGTACCGTACCATCTGAACAACCAGCTATGAGAAGACTTCCATTATGATTGAAAACAGCACAATTTACTGTCAAATCTGGTCCACCTTCACCAACACTATAGGCTTGCTAAAAATAATTGTTTAAAGATTAGTAAAAAGTTATAAAATAAGTACTTATGACACATATACAAAATGGGAGGTTGCTAGTATGAATCCTACAAAAGTATATAATGGGTAATATAAAACTGCATCAAGGGAGACATTTCAGATTTATGTCATCTTGTAAAAAAAATTACAAGTTTTGTTGTACAAATAATGTTTGAATAAAGCTCAAGTACTATAGTTCAGCAACACTAAATTGCCTCACAATTTTAAAATCATACATTAATTAATTTCAATCCTCAAACTTCAAAGACATATAAGGTTGGAAACATTATAGTTAGATATTATTTTAATAATAATAATTTCACTACAATGACATTATTTTTTCGAAAAATCTAAATTTTAAAGGTTACCTCTAACTTATGTGTTTTAATATCGTACACAAGTAATTTGGCTTCTTTTTTAGCTTCATTTAAAGCAGTGCAGGCAAAATGTCTTTCTGTGTGGTTACAGCAAAGAGTTATAATCCTGAAAAATGACAAATTATCAGAATAAAATTTTCTGTTTTTTATTTTAACATAACCTGATGACTGTAAAACATTACTTGGAATCTTTTAGAACACTCGACTCATCAGGAACAAGTTCCCAAATAATTTTATTGTCCTTAGCATCATGAAATCTCAGTATTCCATCAACACTTCCAGATAAAAAGAACCTCTCATTCTTGAGCCAACACAGTGCTGAGATAGGAGTACTGAAGTGAAAACTAGAAACAATACTGAAAACAAAAATGTTTGATATAAAATATTTATGAAAACTACACTTAATTAGGCAAAATAAAAGCCAGCAATATTGGACAAAAGTTTGATCAGAATTACATTAAAAGAATCAAAAGAACAAGCTTTTCAGTAAAAAATAATAATTAAGTTGATAACTTCATTGATTAAGTAAAAAAACATTTCCACAATGTTAAAGATAAATAATAAAAATAAGTAAAACAAATAGTAAACATACCTAAAAGTTTTATAAAGGTTCTTGGAAAAATATAATTAAAGGGAAAAAGTAATTGCAAAATGATGAGCTACAATTAACAAGAGGATATTCACATACATTATATTAGTAATGGAAAGGATCATTAATATTGTTATTAAAGGAATTTAAAATATATGCTTGGTTTATAGAAATGTTCTCATCATTTTACAAAGTTTGAAATACTTAGGACAGATCAGTTGATAACCTATTGTTCATATAAGAATTATAACTAGAGCCTGAAATCTTGAGCATTTGCACATTTTTTCGAACAGTTTGACATCATAAGTTTTTCCAGAACAAAATGGCATATTTCGCCATAATTAAATAATTCTCTTGTAAGCAAGGTTGAAAAAGTAATCATAAAAAATAATTATTTAGGAAAGTTTGATTAAGTAATACATAGTAATATCGAACCCAATAAGATACAATGTTTTAGGAAATTCGTAAGTTTGTTAATGTTGTAAAACCAGTTTATGTCCACAATTCCAATCTCTTCAAAGTATGCTCCTAAGTTGGTTTAAGTTTATTATTTGTACCAGATCTATCTTTAAACTAGGCAAAACGATGAGCTGAGCACTGAGTTTAGAAACTTGCACAAGCGTTAGCTCCTTAGAAGAAAAACTACAATGTCAAGAGTAGGATAAGTTATTCATGTAAATTAAAAAATAATTATTTACCACAAAATTCAACTGAATTAAAATATTTTGTTCAGCATATCATGTGAGAAAGCAGTTGGGTTCAAATGGAATGCAATTTTCACATAAATAACAATTTTCTCTAGAAATAGAAAATCTGAAAAAATTAGCTAAGCTCAGTTCCAACATTTCCTTTCAATAAATCACACTCTTTCGAATGAGTCACAAACTTTAAAAACCTTAACACAAAATTATTAAATAAAATATTACTTTATCTTCATTCAATTAAAAATTAAAATGTAAAGAAATCGAAAAGTGTGGATTATCATTAAACTGACAATCAAATTACTGAATGCAATATAAATAGGTAAAACAATGGGAACAAAATATTATACAAATGACAAAATAGTGGATAAAAGGCAGGTTTTTATAAATGGTAGCTGAAATGAGGAAAATGGAAAGGTTTATCAGAATAACATATCCCAAAACATCTTGAAAATAAGTCCAGAATTGAATTTTGATGTAATGTAAGCAAGAAACATTATTCTGGAGAGTGATCATATCTTCATCTTTTCTATTTTTATAACATTTCAATAACAGAAAGTTACTTAATTTATTTGATAATAATAAGATTTCACCTTAGAGTTGGAGAAGGTGACCAGACCTTAAGAACGCCATCTGTATCACTACTAGCAACTAATGTGCCATTAATGTTAAACTTGCATTGCATAATGGACACTTTATGTTCACTCATCTGTTCCTAAATGAATCAAATTATATAATATTTCTTCAAATAAATATATGAATTATTTCTTTTTTTATATATAAAATTAAAATAAACTTACTTGACTAAGCATTAAAAAATTATCATTCTTAGCATTCCTTTTGTCATTTTCAGTAGAAACGTCTCTATGTCCTTTTCGAGAACGAGAATCCAATGAAAGAGATCGTTTAGGAACAGATTCTGCACTAAAATTGAAAAAAGTACTACAATTTATTTAAAATATTTATCTAAATAACAACAACCTAATGAGTTATATACAAATACCTATTGCCGTATTTTATCCATGAAGCTTGACTTGCATGGCTCCTTTTGCTAGAATGATGTTTTTGAACTCCACCTGATTCATCCACTAAAATACAGAATGTACCGCATAATTTTGACAAATTATTTATAAGTTATTGTTAATAATACATATTATTAATATTAAATAATAATATAAGTAAGTAAACTAAATGTAGAAAGAAACAAAAATCTACAATAAGTAAATCAATTTACCATGAGACTGTGGTTTTCTTCCCAATATTGGACTTGTGGGAATACCTCCACCGATAGTTCTAATAAAGTTTTTCAATATTTTACCCTGAGATTCACCACTGCTTGGTGTTTCCCTACAATAAAATAGGGTTTGATTTCAACATAAAACAAAGATCCTCACAGAAGGAAAACATAAAAATATCATAGAATATACCTTTCCATAATGAAGAGAAAAAATATCTCCTACTCAGGTATTTATAATATTAAATATATTTAACCAGTATCTGTGCTCAATCTTTATGCTGTACACTGATATAATTCTCAGTGTGCCTATTATACTCAATGATTTAGAGACTGTTTTATGATAGCCAATTTACACGATTAAATTTCTTGATATACTACAGATACTAGTTAAGTACTTTTATTTAAGATTTTAAGTTTTTTGATCAAGACATGATGACACCAAGGAAGATCAGAAAAGAAAATTATCACAATCATACAATGGAACAATGGTGATAGCCACAAAGTGTGTTTTAAAGACTAGATAGATAGAATAGAAAATACTACTTGTTTGATTAGAATAGTAAGTTTCCTACATATAGAGTCCAGTCCACTAATAAACATCGATTAAAATTTACAAAAAATGCTGGAATAATTTGGTCTTAGGACTTATCAAAACCTGTTCACACAGTTAAGTTTCTAGATTACAGTGAGTTACTTAAAGATTTTGATCAAGAAACTTTATTATCTAAACTGAGTTTCAAAGAAAATACAAATATAGCATTAGAATAATACTTAATGAATTTCAACTAGAATACAAGGCTTTGTATTCTATTGAGGTAATAAAATTGAGAAAAATCATCAAGGAACATTGGAAAAGGGAACTTCAGGAGTATTATTAATACAGGTTCTTCATTTCTAGAGAAACTACATTCGAGATAATGTAAAGTTACAAACAGAGAAATTACATATTATTCCTGACAAACAACAAATGGTACAATCTTTGTATTTTTACTAATAAATTAATGTTTAATTTTTTTTAGAAAAAATGTTATTCTTCTTGGAAACGGCTTCATTGAAAAAGAAATGAAGAAAAGGGTTATAGAGATTAGTTAAGAAAGATACACAAATCAAGAAAAATAATATGGCCTGACTAACAGTTAGTGATATATCTGTCGTTATGATTAAAATGCACAAATGCTATATATTAACAATTTTTTTTTTTTTTTTTTTGGTTGGCTCTACAGACCTTGTAGATCTGTAGATTGCCTGAACCAGTCTTCTCCACTGCTGCCTATCTTGGGCTACTGCTTTCCTGTTTATGGATTGAAGCTCAGCCGTATCTTTGTTTATCCTATCTATCCACCTGGTTTTTGGCCTCCCACATGGTCTCTTGCCTACTACCCTGGCATTCATTGTCGTGTAAAGGCATCTTGATGGATTGCTACGAGCTACATGCCCTGCCCATCTTAACCTCCTTGCCTTCATGTCATGAAGCTCAGCTCAGATATATGTCATGTCAGATATGTCATGAAGCTCAGATATTGACTGATCTGTTTCTTTCAGCAGTTCTTTATTGTTCCTTCTCCTCCATGTGTCAAGGTTCTGGTCTCATATAGGTCCTGTTATCCTACGTACAACTTTTCTTTCGAATCTCATAATTCTGACTTCTAGTGTGATGGTTAGAGCCCAGATTTCACAACCATACAGCAGAACTGGCTTAATCACGGCGTTGTACACCCTTATTTTTAGATTTCTGGAGATTTTTCTGGATTTCAGTACCTTTGAAAGAGAGAAGAAAGATCTGTTCGTACTAGTTATTCGCTCGTCTATCTCTGTTAGTTGATCATGTTATTGTGGAGCCGAGGTAGTTGAATCAGTCTACTTTCGGAAATGACTATGAATCATGTTATTAGGGTGGATGTTTCGGCTAACTATCATGTATTTTGTTTTACCAACATTAGTAGTCCTATTTGCTCTGCTTCTTTTAACAGAGTTTGAGCGAGTCTCACAATATCACTTCAGAGGACAGCTATATCATTGGCATATGCTAGGATTTTATGTTTCATTCCAACGTACACCCCTCCATCTTCGCGTGATGTTATTCTTATTACTTTCTCTAGTGCTAAGTTGAATAGCCTCGGCAAGAGTCCATCTCCCTGCCTCAAAGCCGTTCGAACTTCAAATGCTTCAGATACTTCTCCTTGTAATAGTATCCTGCATTTAAGATCATTTGTACATGCCTTCGTCAACCTCACTAACTTCCTGAGAACACCAGTTCAGTCATGATCTTCCAGAGACAGTTTCTGTCAATGGAGTCATAGGCTGCTTTGAAGTCGACAAATAATGCGTGTATGTCTTGATCTACTTCCGATCGTTTTTCAAGTACTTGTTTTAGAATGAATATCTGATCTAGTGTACTCCTCCCTCTTCTGAATCCTGTTAGATGATCGCCTATTATTTTTTCATAATACGGATATATCCGATTTAGCAGAATATTAGTCATTATTTTATAGGCGACCGGAAGAAGTACTATGCCTCTGTAATCGCCACATTCATACATGGAGCTCTTCTTAAGGATAGGACAGATCAACCCTGTGTTCCATGCTTCTGGAATCCATTCCTTCTCCCATATCTTCTGGATTAGATCTTGGCTCTGAGGTCTTCTTCCCCCATCCTCGAACAATTCTGATGGTAGGTTGTCTATCCCTGGAGCCTTTCTTGTTTTAAGCCTGCCGATAGCAATTTCCACATCCAGAATATCTAGTTTTTCAACCTCAAGTGGGTCGATGTCCTCAGTGTGGTCCATATCTTCTTCATTTGTGGAGTGCCCTTGATTAAGCAGCTGCTGGAAGTGTTCCATTAGCATCTTTTCTTTAGATGCCGTCAATTTGCCATCTTTTCCTCGCATTTGTGTATTTCTCGCTTTATATCATACCCTTTCTTTCCTGATATCAGCGAAGAATTCCCATATATTTCCAGCCTGCCAGTTTTCCTCAATAGTTTATACTCTTTCTTTGAGGAATTCTCTTTTGGCTGTTCTTATTATTTTGTTTGTCTTTTTCCTGATGGCTGTATATTTGTCCAACATAGCTTGATCAGTTTGTAAGCAGAGGACTTTTATTCTTTCCTCCACTGCTTATTCGCATGTTTCTGTGAACTATTTCTTGGCTTTTCCTTTTTCCTGAATCCCTATTACTTCCTTAGCTGTTTGTTTTAGCCCTGACCCTAGTGCCTCCCAGTGTTGGTCAACCGTGAAGCCTTCCGAGTTCAAAAGTTCGGATTAATTTTTCAGCTCAATTTGAAATTCAGCTTGTACTATAGGGTTTTTCAAATTACGGACTTCGTACCTCTTTTTTTCATTTGGTCCCCAATTCGGTGAATTCTCTTCAGCCTCTGACAGTTTGATTCTAATCAGAGTATGGTCCAAATCACAGTCTGCTTCATGATAACTCCTTATGTCTTGTATAGAGCTTTGATGCATCTTATTAACAATTAATTATATTAAAAACATATCAATGCTAAGTTGAAAAAATAGGAAGGACTAATTTGAGTAAAAGAACCTAAGCTTAAAGAAAATTATAAAATAATTGGTAAATGGTTGACTGTCATGGATAATGAAGAGAAGAATAGTTGAATAATAATAAAATAAATATTATCATTTATTTTTGCCTTCTTTTTTGACTGACCACCCCAACTATTCTTCTCAAAATTATAAAATATTAAAAAAAACAAAAAAGATATAAAATATCACACTAACTGAGCTATAATATAAAAATCATCCATAATATCCATAGGAGGTACAGCATCAGGGACAATATTTGATACTTGACCAAGAGCAGACAGCTTATGTTTTAAAGCTTCATTTTCTTCTTGTAAGCGTCTCAGTTTTGTTGCTTCTTCTTCATAACTAGCCAAAACAGGTTGCGGCATGACCTATAAGAAATTATTTATAAAATAAAAAATCTAAATATAATGTATATCCATTTAAAATTAAATAATAAACTTACTTGATATATGATTGCCAGGAAATTATGAAGTGAAACCAAAAAAGCATCCTGCCACTGTTTTGTAAAATGAACTGAGAATACAGGATGGTCTTCTGGATTCTTAATAAACGGCAATACTGTAAAGTTAATAACACACCAATAAAATTTGGTAGTGAAGGTAAAATTAATATGCTATGGTAATTATAATAGCAAGCAAATTGAATAAAATAATTAAATGGAAAAGAAATAGGATAATACCTCAAATAGACTAATATGGTGACACCATTTAGAAAGGATCATAACAACTAATAAGCATATCATTATTCATTAATTGCATATATTTCTATTGTTAGTGTAGCAAAAGGTCATATGTAAAAACTGAGTTTTTTTGCTCAAAGGACCATAAAAACTGATTATTTCTTTACAATGTATTAATATAATTTATAGCAGTTGCAGAGTACAAAATGTCATCTTTAGTGCAAAGAGAATATAAAATAAGAATGTAAAATTTTTACATACGATCTTTTGTACTCACAGTAGCGATACGTTATATTAAGAGGGAGTAAAACCATAAATAGATGAAATATTATAATTATAGTATAGAAAATTAAATATATAAGATACTGCAATCTATTTAGAGCGGAGTCTCCATCGGTCAAGAATGGAAACGAAGAATCAATGTGGAGCAGCATAAACTATACAAAGAACCAATTATTGTACATTTCATACATATAAGGCTAAGATGGGCTGGTCATATAGCTCAAATGAGTGATATGAAAACCCTGAAGACTATTGGAGATGTATAGCATGGAAGCAAAAGATGTCGGAGACCAAAACTACAATAGAAAAATGTAGTTGATCATGATGATGAAGGACCCTACTCGGTGTTTGAAATTGGTTAGTTACTGCAGGGTATCAGGAAAAATGGACGAGGCCGATCCAAGAGTCTGTGAACTAGAAATGGGTTCTGTGCTAATAAAGAGGAAGATTAAAAAAAATGCAACAAGAAGGTTATTATCTAGAAGGATGTCAGAAAAAACATCAAATAACTACTGCATTGGAATTATTTACTCAATGCCAACATTTTGTTGGTCTTCTTCAAGACAAATTCATGGAGACATTTATGTATCAACCGATACAAGTGAGTTGATACCTAGTCAAAATGACAGTATTGAATAAAGAGTTAGCAATTATTTGATGTTTATTCTGACTGACTGCTGGACCATCTCCTTCTTGACTTATCATACAGCCAACCATCAACATCAATTTGGATTTGCAAAGCTAAAAACTGAAACACGAATCATAATAAAATAATAGGAAACAAGAAGTATTATGTTGATGAGCAATAGAAAAATATTAGAAATCAGGGCTAAAGCTAACCATGGAAATATACTTCTCTAACATAAATAATAATTGATAAATTCCAATTAAAAAATGTGATGTAGTGTGTTTTGATATTTTCTTATGAAAAAAATTAACATAATCTTTGGAAGATGAAAAAGAAAATCTTACTAAACCAATCCTTCCATTCTGGATGACCCTGAATTTCCGGTGTCATCTTAGTGAAAAAATCAACGACTTTATCTGACTTGTTGTTAGTAATGGCATTAGCCAAATAATACTTCAGAAGTGAACTTTCCAATTTTCTAACTCCTGAAAGAAATATAAGCAATATGACTTTACTTTGCAAGTAAATACATTACGATTACAAAAATAAAATTACTTTCATTAATTGGTCAATTATTTCAAACCATCAATACAGTATTGCTAATTTATTACAAAATACCATTAGGTAATATTTTATAAAATTAAATCACCAAATACTTAATTGAATTCTTTCTCTTTGAAATCAGAATATTATGAACTTAAACTACATTAGATATATAACAAGTGACTTTCTATAATAACATAAAGATGTACTTTGTTAAATAAAGATTACTAAATCTTGAAGATCCTAACCTGGTATAAACTCATATTCCAACTTTGTAAATATTTTTTGATCAAAGTGTGTCCAAAGATCTCTCAATGACTGTAGATCATAGTTATTAATAAATATCACGAATTGGTCGACGATTCTATCCACCTATTGTTTTGAAAAGATTTCAATAAATAACAACTATAGACAGTAATATATGAAGTAAAAAATGGAAAAGCTACCTTACCCTGAACCCTCTATCCTTATCTACCTTCAATTCAGCATCAAATGATTTCAATGTTATAGTAAATCCTCTAAACAACAAATACTCCCTAACAAGTTCATCTAAAAGTTGAATATGAGCCATGTTAATAATTATAAACTATGCATACTTCATGACTTAAGGATTGATTTTTAAAGTAACAAGGTTATTTGTTGTTTTTATATTAAATTTTCTGTTAAACATGGCTTTACTGGAAGGATAACATTGAGCCATTCTTTAATAACATACATTTTCTGTATTCACAGTTTGTTTGGCAACATGAAACCTACCAAGACATTGATCATGAACGATTAATTTAATTCTAGTAGATAGATATCGTTGAAGGGGTCTTATATGGTCGACATGTATTGGTATTAATCAAGGTTAATAAAACTACCAGGTTCCCTCACTCAGAGGGAAAATGGTGGTAAGATTATTATTTACTTTTCTGCATTAAATCAATACTGTATTGCAAAATAACTTAATAATTTACAAATTTTAATAAATTTAAAAGGTGAGAGAAAGGTTGATTTGATATATGGTTTATTTTGAAGCAAATAAAATGTAATTTGAAAAGTTGATATGATTGTTTGCAAAATACCGCAATAATATTTTGTAAATATTTCAAATAAATACAGAGCATGATATAGAATAATATAAATATAAAAAAAAAATAAGAAATGGTATTTAACCTAAAATTAAAGAAGCGTTTTATTTCCGTGAATTTTTGCCTTTGATTTTATGTTTTCTCAATTGTAAAAATCTTTGGGTATTTAAAAATTTGATTCTAATAAATACCCGTTGCTGAAAGAAAGCTATTACCCTAATACCAGTTCTTCATTAATTTCTACATTTTGTTTCCTAAGAAAAATATTAGTCAATTTTTTTTACATTTACATTTTAAAATCCAATCTTTTCTTCGAGCGTCCTTTGGAAAAGTATGAACTGAAATTTTCTTTTCCATATTCTTTGCGTCAATTAGATTATTGTTGCAAGATGCAACTGCGCATCTTGTACCTGATATTCTATAGGATTCTATTAATAATTATATTATTAAGAGAAATACAAGAAATACTAGTAAGAACAAGCGAATTCTCTGTAACATGTTATTGAAAATAAAAAATAAATACTCCTTATAATATTATTTTAGAGTCGGATAAGTAGTTGACTGTTAAGATTATAAGGTGAAGATAAATTATCAGGATTTGCAGTAAAAATTTGTTTATTTTTTAAATTAAATTTGTTTATTTAAAGAAATTTTGATTGCAAATCCTGACAAAGATCTTCATCCTTATAATATTATTATAATATCGTTATAATATTAAAAGAAATACCCACGAGATCTACAAACAAAATTATACAAACCTTGTGCTAAAATGTTCTCTAAATAAATATAAATCTTAGTTTTTTCTATTTATATAATATATATGTATATTATTTACAGAGGTTTTGAAATAAATAATTTAAAAATAATCTGAATATCAATTTCGTTCTTTTCGTTTCAGGTCTGGCCTGTAATTTTCATAGCATTTTATTCTAGATTGATAGACGTATTTATTTATTTATCTACTTGAAATTATCTTCAATCAAACGTCAAAAACACAGAAAAGTATTCTTCTTAATAAATTAAACAAGAAAAAAAATTACAATAATGTTGAAATAAGCCTTCATTGATAGGCTTAAAAGAGTAATAGGCAGATCTGGCAGTCTAGTCCTCAAGTCACATTTCAAGTTCCCCCACCACGCATTTCTGAGTGAGCGAACCTGGTAGTTTTATTGACCTTGGTTAATACCCAAGGTAGTATTACTGTTACCTCTTTGGATTGGTGGAGGCACTTTCTGTGATATTTGAAATAAGTCAGTATCAACCTCACAATAACTTCGACATGGAAACAATATATATGCCCCGTGTTAATCATCATAATGTAACAGATATATTGAGTTTTAAAAAGTACTTCAACGAGTTTAATTCAACGCTGGAAACCTTGTTCTTGAAAAACAAAAGAAAAAGTATGAAATTGTTTTTAGAAGATCAAGGAATAGAAGAAACAGAACAGCAAAATTTGAAGACAAAATTCAAGTAAGTATACTATTGCTTACGAAAGTATTATTAAATTATATGCTTGTTTATAGTAACACTTATGTTTTGGGATAAAATTAGTATGGCATGCAGCTTTGTCACTTTTGACATGTATTGGTGTTTGTTTTATAAAAGTTCATTCACATTAAAATTGGATTAAATGGTTTAAGAAGATAAAGTTTTAAACATGTAATAGTTTGAGAACTGTTCAAATACCTTGACAATTTTTTAATTATTTGATTGGCAAAATCGTTACTTGATCGTTTTACTTTTTTCTTCTTTTTGCTCTACGTGCATACAGACCTCTTGGGGCTTAAGCCTCCAGTTATCTATTTACTTTTCTATTGCTTTCCAATTCAGGATCCCAGGCATGGATTAAGCATCCTTCAGCTGTACCATCCATTCACCACAACATAGGTCTGCATCTCCTTTTGCTAGAAGAAGTTTTCTGGAATAAATTTTATAGGGCCTGATCTTCAGGCCTTCTATATATGTTATGCCCATCTGAGGCGACTGACTTTCTTTAATATTGAGAAGAGATATTTATACAATTCACTTATCAATATTATTTTATGTAATTTTTATAACATGGTAGTTACAATCAACAATAAACATTCTGGTTATCCCATGATCATTGGTTTTAACAGTTTATAGGCTATTATGAATTATAATTCATTAAAATATTATGGCAAATATTGCAAATGTTTCTAAACTTACTTCAAATAAATAAGGAACTCAGACTTCTGCTCGCTCAAAAGATAAAGAAACCCTTACAAATCTTTTTCAATAGAGAGTCTTGCCAATTATTGGTCTTTGTCTTTAGAATATTAATTTAAAGTAATTAAGGACTCGGTCTCAAATGTTCTCTCTCCTCAAAAACATTTAACTACTATCCAGATTGTTTTCTTAAAGGCTACCAAGTTTATTATATGTTTATAGTGGTCCAGGTATTTAAAATGATGATAATGAGTAGGCGAGAGGTCTGGAGAGTAGGGCAGATGGTGCTGACGGATATCCAAGCTCCTACAGTTTTTATGACGTCACATGTCAGACATGTTGCCGGGAGTTGTCATGCAACAAAATGGACCCCTTCCGACTGACCAAAGATGGCTTCATTATTGCCAATTTCTAATGCATTGCATTAATTTGGTTACAATATGATTTGGTATTGATGATCCCTCCAGGATTTAAGAAGCTGTTGTAATGCAAACCAAATTAAGCCCACCAAACAGTAATCATATTTTGTTGATGAGTTGGGGACTTTGGAAAATGTTCTGCTGCTTCTCCTTTGTCGAGCCACAGTCCAGAATGTCTATGGTTATGCAAAGTATTCACTTTTCATCACAGTAACAATTCTGGACAGAAAAGGGTCATTTTTGTTTTGGCAAAGAAGTGTAGCACAAGTTTTATAATGTTGTTTTTTAAAGTGTGTAGAACCCAATTTTTACGCTTTTTTTATCTTTCCAATCGTCCTGAGGTGGTCATCGACAGTCGGTTTGCTAAGTTTAAGTTTCCCTGCAAGTTCTTGAACAGTTGTTCTGGTGTTTTCTTCCACCAAACCCGCAGAACATTGTCATCAAGAGAGGAAGTCCTTTCATGACCTTTCATCAAGGCTAAAGTCTCCCTCCTGAAATTTTTTAAACCACTGTTGAACAGCACACTCATTAATGCTGCTCTCACCCTACTCTTGATTGATGTTTCTGGCCGAGTTTAAACTCGTAAAACAAAATTATACGAAAATCGTGGATTGGCATCTCAGGAAGGACTGAATTATTTCTAAATAGCAAAATGCTACAGAGTTAAACAAACATTATCGTTTGGGAGAGGATTAATAAGTGTTGATATTCATACAAATGAATAATCCAATAAACGTAAACCGTTTGTTACATACAGGGGTATTTTAAAGAAAACTCAAAATCCTTCATTATTTTCAGGACAACCCAATACATTAATTTTTTTTTTAAATTAATTTCTTTCAAAAATATTGTGTATCATTTTCCTTGGTCTCATTTTTTTTTTTTTTCAGTGTTAACAATTATTGTTGGAAGAGTGTTCAAAGCTCCGAAAAGTTGGTTTTACCTATAGCTGGTTTTAAAACTGAATTTAAACTGTACAACATTCCTGATGATGCTGATTTAAAAAGTGTACAAGTATTACGTTCTCGACAAGTGAAGGATGAAGGGAAGCGACGAAAACTGTTACGTTATACTGGAGAAGTTAATTGTGTATGTGTTAACATTTTCCTGATTTAATTGATTTTATGTAATTAAAATTTAATAATGTAATTTATTTGTATTTATATATCAGATTGAATGAGTTATATTTGTCAGTTTGATTTAAATTTATTGGTTGAAACAAATTTGATCATTGGAAATTACTCTAGCATTATCTTCAGGTTTGAGTGTGACTCAGATTCTCCAGTCTGTTGAAAGTGAGTGCTTCATATTTAATATATTTAAGGCATTTTATTTCCAGAACACCGACACAAGGTGGAGTCCATTGGCAAGTTTCATGTTCTTGGTTTGAGATTTTAATGATCTATAATGAGATCAATTATTGTTCTAAGTCCTTCCTTGTTAATTTATTTTATCATCTATTGTCAGTCCATACCAAAGTTTAACTTATTTCAAGGTCTCTTTTTTCTCTCCTGGAATTCAATCACTTTCAATCATCAATCGAGGCCTTTGATATATTGATTAAAGATATGATCAACTGGCATTTATTTTGAGCCATTATTTGCAAGAGTGTTTCCAATCTTATTGCTTTAGACTCTCTTATGTCCTAATATATGTAGTAGAATAATTTTATATTTGCCATTTGTGCTTTCATATCTGTTTTCACTGGATTGATATTTATATTGATCATCAGGAAATAAGAAGAAAAATCATCAAATAAAGGCTGATTAAACGAAAAAATTGCCTCGATAAAATACTTGTAAAATTAATAAAGTTTTTAAGCTCTAAAAATCTACTATATTTCCCTGATACTGTTGTAGTTTTTTTTTTCTTTTTATCTTAATATTTTCCCACCTATAGCTTTATTTGTTCTGTTTTTATGGTTATTTATTATAACAATAAATCTTTACAGTAAAATGTACATTGATAAACAAAAAGGAAAAATTACAGATTGGCAGTTTTAAATTGTATAAATATCCACTGTTGAAATATCCTGAATTTCATTTTACTCTTTGTTGCAAAACCCTGAAAAATTTGACATTTATTTAGATTTACTGTTGATTTTTTAAAAATATTTTAATGCAAGATAAATCACCTAAATTTATATAAAAATTAAATATCTGTATCATGACAAACCCCCTCTTGGATTCATTACTTTGTAAGGAAGTACTGTTCAAGATCAGCAGCTGTGCAAAAAGGTGATATGAGTGAGAGGAGGTTCAACTGCCATGTTTTTTCTCTTTAATTAATTAAATAATTAAGACTATCCGCTTCATAGAGGTCGAGTATGTTCCAGGAAGGACTTCTAAGCTCAAGGTTGATCTACAGCTAATGTAACCGAATAAATAATAACCTACTTGAATCTGGAATCAGGAGAATAAGTGAACAGTGTCTTACTCACTGAGATATCTCACTAAATTCCTATTAAATTGTTATGATGCTCTAATTGTTAAAAAAATGAATTATTTTCAAATGATTCATTTTTATAGAAAAACTCAATTTATAATACAGCAGTTTATGTATAAATTTCTTTTCTCATCTTCCTTTACAGTCTTTAGGTTTTCTTTGCATGTTACTTTATTTTATAGTGATATTTTATTTATTATTACCTCTTAATAATGTATCACAAAGTTTGTCAAAAAATATCTCATTAGATGGTCTTCATACTAAACAACAAACCAGTGTCCATTGTTACCTTGGCAAAGGGATATTTAGAAAAACTTTGTTCTCATTTATTTTATTTTCATTTTTTTTTTTTTTCAGGAAAATCATATGGTTGCTTATGAAGAAGACAAATATAAAGATAAAATCAAAGAATATACTGATTATCTTTTGAGTGTTCGAGTTTACTTGCCAACTGTTCATTGTTCTTTTTCGAATGCAAGGAGAACTAAACCTCTCCAAGTTAGTCAGGAATTTTTTGTGTATAGCAAACAGACCCTTGACTGCCTCAGGGACCGAATTCTGTGCTCTGAAGACTTTAATTCTGCAGAAGGAGATATCAGTAATAATCCATTTAAAACTACCACAATTAGGAATATGGTTAGTTTATCAATCTGTTCTTATTACTGAATTACTTTAGTGGTAAAACTAAGTCAAATTCTGTTGACAATTTAAATTTAAATTTATCTATTATACATAGACTTACTTTTAAAATAGTTTGTATATCTGTACAGATAAGGGTGGATCAAATAAAAATGGGATTTTATTTATTTAAAAAAGATTCATTTATTGAAAACAAAAGGCAATTATTATATTTTTTTCTATATGGCTTCATCCATAAGAAATACATTTTCCACAGCGAGAAGGAAGGTTTTTTTTGCTGCAGAATCATATGAACAAAGCTGGTTGAGTATTGCAGGGCAATAGGTATGGGCTGTAAGGAGGATGGATAGAGTTGAACTCAATCCATTTTCTGTGGCTTGAAGACCGATTTAGCTGTATTGTCGGTCGGATATGGCATTGTTGGAGAGGAGAATCATCTGTCAAATCTGTTGATCTTGTCTTTTGCGGCAATACTCATTCATCACCTCGTTCAGCTTGCAATAGTAAGCAGGATTGATTTTGTGACACTTATACAAAAAATCAATGAGCTAAATGTCTTGTCAGTCGCGGATAGTGATTGTGTTGCTTATTTTCTACATGTCCTCATCATTCCTTAAACTCTTTATGTCAGACAAACACATACTTTCTGAAGAATGTTTGATCACTGAACTGTTCAGTCAATCTCTTCGATATTCCATGAACAAGATATTTTATAATTATTCCTTAGATAGTGGAAGGGTGCTGTACCAGTTTTGATATAACAATGAGCGTTACTGACAAAGTTGTTGAAAGTGTGGAATGGTGGTGTCTCTTTAATGCTAATGATCTTCACTCAACAAGACCAGACTCTCGAGTCTGGTCATACTAATTGTAGAGGTTCAGGAACGAAAATCCCAATTTTGTGTGATTTATCCTTGTATATATTTTAGACTGGACAAAAAAAAACATAATATTTTTAAGTATAATAATTTTAAATACCCTCCTCAGTGAAATTTTATTTTGTGTTTACAGGATGTGTACAGGTCAGGAATGTTTTTTATTAATGATAAATTTTTCGTTGATTCACGTTATCCTGGAAATATAGACTATAGTGATATTGTAAAAAAGTGGGCAGCTGGAAAAAAATTAGATTTAAATGTAACTTTATCTATGGAATCATCTACATTTAATATGATCGATCTTCGCTTGGGCTATCCTTATCTTTATATGCACCAAGGAAACTGTGAACATTTGATTGTCTTTACTGATGCTAGGTAAGAGATTATATTTGTAAATTAAATTTTAGTTATTTTTAATTTATCAGACCGTCTTAAACATTACATAAAATATCGGCACACATATATGACAGATACTGCATTTTAGTGTGGTAAGTTAAAATGTGTAGCCATAATAAAATTGGTAACAAAATAGCTAAAATAACCTGTTGTTTTCTATTTAATACTTTTGAATATGTTATTTAAAAAAACTATAAAGTTAATCAGAAAATAATTCTTTTCAAAAATCACAATATAATAAATAAGGAGAGGATGATCGACAGACTTTATACCTCAAATTTTGAATAACTAACTAATAATAAGTTAATGTAAAGAATAAAAAAAAAGTTTATACAAGTATATATGAAACAAATATTTTGATATCTAACATTAAAAAAGAAATCTTTGTAAAAACTGATGTGGATATAAAAAATCCTAATGGGTTTGTGTTTATAAATCACAATAAATGTACAAAATTATTAATTTAAAACATTTATAAATATTATTGATTTATATTGTTAAAAGAAAAAAAATAAGATTTCTTAAAATTAATTAACTAAAAATAGATGGATAGCAAAAGAGCGAACTGGAAACTAATGTTGAAAATTATTTTTTAAGATATTGTCAGCGAATTAAGTTTTTTCCTTTTCTTTGTTTTAAGTTAAAATGATAATGTACTGTAAGAGCATCTAATATTGTTTTTTTCTTGCAAGTATTGTTTTATTATATTCATTTAGTAAATTTTCATTGATAATTTTGTTATATATTGTTTAACTTTAGGTTGATTACACCAAAGGATATTCTTGTAAAGTCTGCATATCCTGTAATGAGGTCGTATGCAAGTTTGAGAGGGAAGCAGTGCATGACATGTACTAAGAAGGCATCTAAGTATGATATGTGTTTTATTGTTTATTAATACTTTTATATTTAAAAAAAATTAATGCTAATGATTTCTCATTTTTTTTTTGTTTAAATAGGTTTATTGTGTTGAACACAGAAAGGTTACCTCTTTCAAGGACATACGTCTGTGGACTTTGTTTGTATCAGTATTTTTATATTGGTGATCAAAAAACAGATGATTTCATTGTTTATAAATATTTGGACCGTGTCGCACTACTTTAATTGCACATTAAGCTGACTTTTCTTTAATTTTCATTTATGTTTGTATAAAATGTTAAGGTTTAATATAATCTTATGTAGATTATTATTTTCTTTAATTAAAAATAATGTACATATAACATTTAAATATGTAATTTGTAAATAACATATATATATATATATTTAAAAAATATATAATTGATTTATTTCTTACTGTTATAGTGATGATTTCTAACCATCAATATTTTGCTTATCCTCTAGTTAATTGATATTGATTTATCATGGATAGTGCTACTGTTTTAACTGATTCAAACCGCATTTAGGTAGAGAACCAATATTTTTAATCTTGAAAAGAGATGGGATGTAAATTGTCGGTTTATTGGAAAAAATTCATTAAGTGACATTTCATAACCTCTAATAATTAAGAATCTTGATGAATTTTTCCAATCCGAAAATTGTGCACTTTCAAGGGGAGTCTACAGTCAGTGGGTCACTGATTTCAACAAAAAATTTTCAGTGACACTACATCAAAACATATTGGACAAATATCCCGGTGTTCATTCCAATGGACCATAGGAGACAAGAAAAAAATATTTTATATTTTATATAATTTTTAAAAAAAAATATGTTATTTATTTTAATGATGTAGAGGTGGTTGACCGTTGATATAATATGAGGAGTTAGTCGAGGGAGCGGTCAAATAAATAAAAAAGAAATTAAAATATATTAATTATTTTAATTTTTGCCCAAAAAAAAATAAATATATTAATTATTTTAATTTTTGGCGAAAAAAAAAATTAAATATATTAATTATTTTAATTTTTGACCGTATAATATATATTTAATTAAAATATATTATTTATTTTAATTTTGGCAAAAATTAAAATAATTAATATATTTTAATTTTTTTTTATTTATTTGACCGCACACTCGACTAACTCCTTCTCATGTTATTTATTTTAGTGTTTGCTATATCCTGATTTATAGGTTCTTGTATATCAATCAATTTATTTTTTTGTGCAGAATGAGAAAATATTATTGGCTATTGTATTAAATGAGTTTTAATGTGTCATAAATTATAAAAACCAAAAGGTGTTACCAGTAAAGTGGACCGAGTAAATTTTTATTATGAAAAAGCAAGTTATACTCGTTTTTGTGAATTTTAATATAGAAATAAAAATTGTAAAATTTAAGAGATGATTATCTTAAAGGATTTTTTTTCCGGTCAACCGATTTAATAGTTCGGTTGAAAATTACTATTAAATTTTAAATTTTTTTATTTCTATAAAATATAGTATTTAATAGTTTCAAAGGACTTTAAAAAATGAATCTAACTTGCTCTTTCTTAACAAAAATTTACTTGACCTACTTTACTGGAAACGCCTTTTGGTTTTTTTAATTTATGATACATCACAACTCATTTAATGTAATAGTCAATATTTTTTTCTTATTCTGCACAGAAAAACGAAATCGATTGATATATAATAACCTATTAACCTAGGCAAAGTAGATGCATAAATAAATAACATAAATTTTGTTTAAATTATATAACATATTTTTTTATAGCTCCTAGGGCCCATTGTAATGAACATCGGGAAATATTTTTTGACGAATCACAAAAAAAAAAAATTGCTTGAAATCAATGACCCACTGCCTGTAGCCTCCTAAGTTGTTAGTTTTGCTATACCTAGTTCTGCCATAAATACTGTTACAAAAGTTGAACTTTGTTTACATCCTTGGGTATTATTTAGATAATCCTTACCTCTATCACGTTATTTTCTTTACATGTCATGTTAATAAAACCAATTAGTTTGTATGTTTCTTTTGCTCAGTTAACATGGAGTGGGGTGATAAAGAAAACCGAATAGCTGTGATCGCCTTACACAAAGTTGGGAAATGTAGGTCAGAGATTTTCAATAGATATAATAATGAACTGCACAATAGATATAATGAGACACTATCTGTATGTGACAGACCTCGGCCGGGCTGTCCCCACACTGTGAGAACGGCAAATGCAGTGGCTGCTCGAATCAGGAAAAATCCCATTCAAAAACAAATCATGTCTGGGAAATGGGAATCTCTGTCAGATCAATGTCTCGCATAATAAAAAAAGACCCTAGGATGGGTGCATTTCGAAGAATGACAGATTTTGTTTAGCGATGAGAAGAGTTTGCTTTGATGGCACCACAAAGCTTCATTTTTGTGAAAAAGGAGTTAAAACAGCCACTAAAATCAGGATGATATATTGGAACCTGTTGTCAAGCCTCTGAATGATACTCTGTTTGCTGGAAGTCATTGGGTTTTCCAGCAGGATTCTGCTACATCTGCTTGGCTTTGGTCCGAACTGGAGAGGATGGTATGTCACAGAGCACACCCTAACTTGGAAAACCTCAATCTCTAGTCCGAGCGGTAGAGCGCTTTCCTCAAGAAGTGCTGCATGCTGCTATTTATGACTGCCCGCAGAGATTAAATGCCTGTGTCAAGGTGAAAGGAGGACATTTTAATTTCTAATTAAGTTTTTGAAAAAATTAATTTTTCTGTTGAAATCTATATTTCAACTAATATAAAATATATTTCTTGGTAACGATATTTATGACAGGACTAGTTATATGATAAATAAAAGAGTGTAATTTCTATGTAATTATGGTGTTTTTGAATTGATAATCTATATCAAAAATGTACTTAGTGACTTTTTGCAATAAACTGACAAAATATCAATATTTACTAACTATATCAAAACATCTTATGGACTTCAATGTTTTTAATCTTCAAAAGAAGTGGGACAAGATTAACATTGAATAAGTCTTAGATTTTTTCAGCTAGTCGTCCCCTAGGTTGGTGTAGAGGTGCAATGCCATAATGTGCATAAATAGTATTCCTTTATTGGAAAAAGCACTGTGCCTCCACATAGACCTAATGAGCGTAGATCTTTAGATTGAATTTTTCGTTCAACTTTATTTCCTAGATAAATAAATGTTCTAATTTTAATATTTAAAAATAAAATTAACTATCAAATGTTTGCTACACATAATAAGCCATATTAGGTTTCACCTCGTAGAATAGTTATAGAGCATGAGATAAATTTTATTCGAGTGAAATTTTTTAACATGCCGTGCCTCGTAGACAACTAACACAATAGGAACAATCAATGATTAATATATTTATTAACGCAAAAATTAAATATATATTATTGAGAACTAGAAAAAAACAAAGCAATTGAATTGCAAAACAAAATAAAATAAAAAGGATGTATGAGAAGAGAATAAACATTGAATGAGCCTTATTTTTTAAATTCCTTATTGAGTCTTTTTCCTTAAAATATTGCTTGTATTTGAACTAGAGCACTACTCACCTTTAATTAAATTAATCCATATTAATCAGACTTATATTAAGTGGATTTAATTGCTACCTACATAATCAAAACTTTATTTTAATGTAGTTCTTTAGAACTTTCATGCCGGCCAATATAGGTGATATTCTGAAGGATGCAAATTCTTAAAGGAATGGTGTTATCCACTAGTGTAGTGAGGATAGATTTCTCCAAAGAAACAAAAATTAATTACAGTTGTGTAATATTTTTATTCAAATGTAACTGGTCATTATTATGTATTAAAACAGTTATCACAGGCATTGGACAATTAATAAATATATTCAGATTCTGTAATTATAATATATTCTTATAAATTCATAATAAATGTTCAACATAACTTAAAATTTTACAGAAACAACATTAAATCACAAAACTATTTAAATTATTTTTTTAACTACTTATAAATAAATGAACTTGAAACTTATACAAAATTATTGTAATCATAAAAATATACTTTTTAAATAGTAATTGATATGTAATGATTTTGGAAATTAACTATTCATGATACAAATATGGGAATTGATAAAAACCTGATAATTTCAATTTTTCAGGAAGTTTAAAGTTTTAAAAACTCTTCTTAACTATTTAATAAATAAATAAACTCAAGGAACCTTTAACCTCATAAATTGAGCAAAAATTAAACAACAAAAAAAATCAGTCTTTTTTTACTGTGAATACAGCAGAACCCAGCTTATCCTTATACAGATATTATTGTTTAAGTTATTCTAATAATTTATAGCAAATTTAAATCTCAAAACATGAATGCATGGGCACCAGTCAATCAGATGTGAAGAAAATAATCCAGTTAGCTACCTCCCTTATTTTCGTCACAGTGTTAGAACTTATTCGACAATATGATGATATTGATTTAATAAATTAAAAGCGAATTCCAACTGCTATTGTATATCACTAGTTATGGTCAAGCTTCTATTACTTTCACAGCAAAAAGTAAATGCTCGACTATTGGTCCGCCAGAAAAATTTCTCTGACATGTTAATCATTCGTTTACCAGTAAATCCCAAGTTTGTGAGATTTCAGATATCCTCACTCCGACCAAGTTTGTTTTGTCCTTACTAGTATATTTTTAACTTAGTATAGTATACTAATAGTATATTTTTTCTAGTTTATTAAAATGATCGTAAACTAAAATAAGATGTTAAATATTATGACAATATTACAACTGTTGGTGACCACAATCCGTTTTTTTATTAAAATTGGTTTGCTAGGAATGACATTAGCTCGAAGGACAAGGGATATAGGAAAGCCTTTTAAAAAGGAACGAGCTCTGTGCTCAAGCTCTTTGTGCTTTCAGCTCAAGTGTCTGAAAAGATATTGATGGTTAGTTTAGTTTATTGCTAAGTATTTGCCAATGGCTTTTAATAAAATAGTTTTGCCACTATTTAGCTTATTTATGAACGCCACCCCCGGACCATCTCCTTCTTTTATAAAAAAAAATTAAAATGCGACAGTATGGCTATACATTAAATTAAATATTTACAAAATAATAGGTAGTTAAACATAAAAATACATGAGAAAAAAAAATTAGTAAGGTAAATAAATGTCTGACGTGAGAAAGGGTCATGGAAAAGTAGATTCTTAAAGTAAACAAAACAAACTAGTAAACAATGGAACACGACTGGAAGATTTCCTAGAACAAAACCAGTAAGCATCAGTGAAGAATTGAGGGAGATATGAAAAAGCGTTCTAGCGGCATCATGAAGGATCGACCAATTCAAAGTGAATTAATCGATACTGATTCCTAGTGAATTAAATGACCAATGTCGATTCATAATGAACCATGATTCTTTCATGTAAATAATTTCAGAGTATGATTCTTTCAGAGGAATCAACTCTATGATTGGATTCTCAATTCACCTGTCCATCTAAACTTTACACTATAACAGATGTTTGCAAATTCCTTTTTACTTATATACCCCTGGGGATTAAGTGGGTAAACATCATACCGTAATCGCCCAGACCAACCTCACACCATCCAAGGGATATAATAGTAACACCCATACTCAACCAACCAAATAGATTCACTAAATTTACACCAATCCCCAAATGGAAAAAACATTACAACAGTTCTTTAATCGGATGGCAAATGTTACATTAGTACACTACAAATCCAGACATTATGGATGGACATGGATTCAATACCCTTGCAAGTCCTACCACCGACCTCAATTCCCTTTAACCAATAATAAAAACCCAATCAACACTATATTACATACCCCATCCACATACACCCACAACCAATCCCCCACATCTCATAATTCCCAACACAAATTACAATTCCTCACCAAAAATCCTAAAACACACATTCCAAAAAATAACACAACCACCCTACTATAAATACAACCACACCCCCTCCACATAACACATTACACCCCAACACTCCCAACCTCATTACCAAAACCCACCCCCCACCCATCCCCCCCCAAATTACTCAATTCATTATTATCAAAACCCCTTCTAACACCATATAAAACCCTCACCACCATCAAACCTAAAACCCAAAAACCCCAAAACCCTTTCACATCCAACTCACCAAAACATCCAATAACACAATATACCCAACAAAACAACATTACAAAAATACCATTATTCCTCCTATCAAAACACCCAAACTCATCCATTACATCCTCCTCAATTTATTATAAACTTTCCTACACACACCAACCCCACCCCCCTACATCCAATCAATACTCCCAACCCCCCCCCCACAAATAACACCAACACCACCATACCCCACCACAATCCAAAATTTTATCTCCCCACAACATCCCAAAACAACAAAAACCTCCCAACCCCCCCCCCATTTAATAACTCCACAAACCATCCCCCACTTACTAATATAACCACCCTCCCTCCACCATTTCCATATTAAACAAACATCCTTACAACTTACTAAAATTACCCATATTCCCATTACAATTCCAACCATATTCCATCCCCTTTAACCATCAACTCCCACACAAAACACCCCCCATCACCCTTCAATAATAAACAACATTAATATAATCCATAACCACTAACTTCCCCCCCCCACACTAATTATATAATCATCATAACATCATTACATAAGATAATACTATACAAGATTAAGTCCAATTTTGAAAACTAATATAGTTATTATTCCAAAAGGTGATTATTATTTACATATAATAAGAGCCTTCACCTTTTTATAAAATAAAGTAGAAAATCGATTATATGAAAATTAACTATGAGACTAGACAGAATATGGGTGGCCTCTACTATATGATAGAGAATCACACAGTGATTCACATGAAACCACGTGATGACAGAGATTGTGAAAACATTAAGAGCTTAGTGAAATATCTGTTGAAAAGGCTTGAAGATTTGATCACAACTCAAATAGGCTTGGAAACATTAACGTTTTGTTCTATTTGAAGAAAAAAAAAAAAAAAAACTCTGATCATATAATTGACATTCTACTATACTTTAATGATTTTTATATCACTATCAACTATCAAATGGGTTCGATCTTGGAATCGTTAGACAAATATTTTATAATATCAATTTCAGCTGAAAAGTAAACCATAAAAAAAAAAAAAATATTTGTATGTATTTTGCCTAACAGCAAATCAAAGCTGACAATGGAAAAGGTGGTCAAAATTATCCATCATTGAGAGGTAAAAAAAAATCTTAATAGTATGTTGAATTTAACCATCTACCTTTACTTCAGGAATTCAAAATACTTCTTCAAAGTTGATATTCACAACATATTTACATATATCATATAGTACACAGAACGACTGACGAAACAATCAACCCAGATGGTAGTGACTATTTGTTAAACATTGAAAACAGATTTTGATCACCAAGTCAAATAACTCAGGCTGTTGTCCATATCTTCTTTTAATATCTACAAAAAGAGAACAAAATTATTTTGTCTTTGGTGATTGATTCAAAATTTTATTGCGATTAAATACAAATTTTTTATGCGAACAGATATAGAAATGATAAAAAAAAAAGAAGAAAAGAATACACTATATCAAATGACAACACCAAGATAAAAATTAACTTGATATTTAGTACAAGTTGATATTCTGAATATATTGTGGTCCACAGAAGCATTACAATTCCATCAATAGAAAATGAGCTAAGAAAATAAAAACATAAAAATTTCTATGGAATACTCAATGGTTGACTGTAATATAATATTGAGGAAACAGATGGTCCGAGGTGGCAGTCATAGAAAAACTTTGATAGTGAAATTTTTTAGAATAAAATAGTGAAATAAAAAAAAAATAAATATAAATAAAATAGTGAAATAAAACAGTTTTTCACTATTTTAAGTTTTTTTTATGACTGCCACCCGGGACCATCTATTTCCTCAATAAAAGTTTGTGACCTAATAAAAATTACCATCATACAGTTCATGAACTGAAGTGGATTTAATGCTAATAACGTACTAGACTTTCTGCTTATTCTCTGTGATATATATAAATATACAGTAGAGCATCAATAAATTGGATCGTCAATTATACTGAATAATCTTAATTAATCACTTATTTATTTTATTTTTTTGGGTTTTATTTGTGAAATTGAAATAAGTTTAAATTGAAAACTGAAACCAGAATTTGAAAAACTAAAACTCTGGTTCATGAATGATTCCCATTCCTCTACATACAGAAAATCTTCACTGAAAAAAAAATGATCAGACTGGTACAGATGAAAACATAAATCTAAATACCAGAACTTTCAAATGATTATGTCATTTTGGCAGTTGAATGGCCATAAAAACAAGAAAGAATAGGTCATATAAAAATATTGTTTGAGAGATAATGACAGCAACTCAAAAAAAGAAAGGTAATATATTAGTGGTATTATACTCCTACTAATAATATTCTTCATAACACTAAGATAAAAGACAATTATATTCAGGAAATACTCGAGTTAGATGCTTCAATTATATTATAGTAATTTATATAATCACTTTTTTCCCTGCTAACTTCTGAGATTATGCTGAAAGAAGTTACAGTGAGTGGAATATACAATCGAATCAGAAAAATAAAAACCTTAGGCATCGATATATATATGCTTTCTAAATGTTGAGAAAAAGAAGTAAATTTTATTTACATAATAGAAGTGAAACAAATAATCTACATACTACATTATATTAATTAAGTTTAGCATACCAGTATCAGTACGTATTTTGGAAATGATCCATTAAGGGTTCATTGTTAACTGAGATAAAGTTGGCTAGTTCATTACGAATATTTTTTATGGTCGATTGATCTTTTTTCATTTCACCTACTTCTTGACTTATTTCTTTAACAAGTCTGAAATAAAGATTTTAATGAAATTAATTTTTCTAGTTTGATAATGTTTAATGGTAACTGAAAACAAGAAAATAAAATTAAAATAAATCAAAGACAAAACAAAAGCACTAATTAAAACTTTTAGAACGTATGCTATAGACAGACCATAAAAGATAAGATCATCTGAAATCTGTAAAAAGATTTATTTATTAAATGAGATAAGAGAAGTACAAGTTTTGTATGTTTTCGAAACTTTTTCCACCCGAAATAGACTAAAGAACACCGATCTTCAAATTTCAAGATGACTAAAACTTTTTTTTTTGGTCGATTACAAAGGTTCATTATTGAAATATAAAATTAAAAATGAAACCAAAATTAAATGGTTTAACAAGAATAGAGTAGAAAAATAAAAATGGAGAAAACATTCAATTATACATTTATTTTTGAAGTTTTTGATATTGTTATATACTAATAAAATTCGCAACTAAATCTTACCCTAATGTCTGAAGTTCTTGACGGTTTTTTTGAATTTGCCATTTTAATTGTTGCTGTTCTTCCTCCTTCATTCTGTGAAGTTCCCGAACTGCCTTTCCCCACTGTTCTTTAAAAAAAGTTTTAGATTCAACAGCTTTCTCTAATTTTTGTTCAAGAGACCTCTGAAAATTATTAAGTTATCAACTTCCCAATTAATTACATTATTATTTATTATCATGTAAAGTTAAAATAGGTAATAAATTAAAAACGTCAAAGGAAGAAAAAAGCTGAGTACTTGTAACCTGCCCTTTAGGCCCTGGAATATATTAGCAGCAGAATTGGATAAAGAGATGACTTTGATTAACCTTTCAAAAAAACAGACTAAACAGTATTGTTCAGGGGGCTTTGGAATTTATAGATCCGTCGAAAAACGCATATCTGAAATTTGACCTGATCATAATAAATTAAAACGCGTACAAAATAGAATATGCTGCATCATGGTTCCATTCCGATGATTTTTTTTTTTTGTTTTGTCGGTAATTTAATTACCTTTTAAAAGTTTTATTATAAATTTTACCGTATAATATATACTTAGGGAGTTAGGCCCCATAACATTTTTCTTTTCTTTATAACTTTTTTTCCTGAATTTTTTCGGGAATTTAGTTCAGGTACTAAAATTGAAAGGACAATTAGTAGAACATTATAGGGAAGTTTCACAAAATTGTCAGAGCCATTTTCGGGCTACAGTCTATAGAGAAACATGTTTTTCATTTATCGTGCAGCAGCTATTGCGCATGGAGCACTCAATTTGTGATAGAGGCATCAGTAGTCAAAACCCTATAAAATAAAAGAAGCAACAAAATCGGTCCACTAGTTCCCGAGAAAATCTTGGCACAGACAGACAGACAGATAGACCAATGGCTAAAGACGTGTTTTTCGGACTCAGGGGGCTCTGAAACGTATAGATCCGTCGAAAACCGCATTTCAGAAATTTGACCCGATCGCATTACTTTCCTTACCTAGTACAGGTAGGAAAGTAATAATCAGACAGTATCTATCCCATGAAAAAAAAATTAAGATGGGTAGGATATTTACTGATTATATATATGCATACAAAAACCAATAGTATTAAATAAATCTTTACAATTTCACTGATTAAGCTGGCTGTTTGTTCCTTTGAATGATGATTTGGCACTTCTTGATTTAACAATGCATCTTGCAGTCTCAAAATTTCTTTTCTACTCTCTTCTAATTTTTTATAAAGCTCTGTTTTTTCAGTAGTAGCTTCATGAATCTACAAATTATCAATTTGATATGAAGTAAATGTTAAAACCATATTTAACACGACATGACATGTACATACATTATAAATATTAAACACCATTTTATTTAGTTATGTTAGAAAATAAATGGTAGGGCATTAACATTAAATTACTCATTACCTTATCTTCCATATCAAATTCATGTAACTTTGAAGCTTTTCGAAGTTCTTGAAATTTCATTGTATATTTCTTATCTAATTCCTCTTTTGCAATTTTCAACTAAAAAAGCCAAAAGTAGATAAAATAAATTAAAACATGATTCAATCAATATTATATGAAATGAATATCAAATAGAGTAGGGATCTTTTCTTCTTGAATCACTAACCACATGGACAAAATAATTAAGTTTTTTTTTTCAATTTTGAAAAATGCTACCACTATTATAATGCTAAGCAATAGTAATTTTAGAGAATAACTTTTTTGTTCTATACAAAAGATACTATTGTTGAAGAGAAGATGGTAGTGATTTAGTCATTGAAAGAACAAAGTAAAAATAAATTGTATGTATGTTCTTTGTACACCTCTGAAACATAAAGATCAGTTGAAAACTGCACATCGGAAATTTGACCCGATGGCAATACTTTTCTTACCTAGTAAGAAAGTAATAAATTAAAACATGTGAAGAAAATAAAATACACAATATCATCACCAATACTGGTTTGATTCTAATGTTTATTTTTTTTTGTTTTATGGGTAATTTAATTATCTTTCAAAAGATTCTGTATAAATTTTACCACAGAACATATAAAGGAAGGAGATGGTCTGGGGTGGCGGTCATAAATAGACTAAATATTGGCAAAACTATTTTATTAAAAGGCAATGTTTCGATCCGACTTTGCAGGTCTTCCTTCAAGGAGAAGTGTTCAGCAAGGAGTTTCATTCGCATGGAGTTATAGGAGTATATGTTCTACACAAAACATATACTTTGCAAGTTAGGCCCCAAAACATTTTTCTTTTCTTTAGGACTTTTCTTCATGAATTTTCTCAGGAATTTACTATATATACGAAAATTGAAAAGACATTAAGTAGAAAATTATAGAAATTTTTATCAAAATCGTTAGAGCCGTTTTTGGATTACAGTATATAGAAAAACATGTTTTTCTCTTATTGTAAAGGAAGCACCCAATTTTTGTCACAGACGTCGGTAGTCAAAATTCTACAAAATCAAAAAAAGGAATGAAATCAGCCCACTAGTTTCCGAGATAATCTTGGCACAGATAGACGGATTCTTCAACAATATCTTCTAACAGTCAACAATTAACCACCATCAAAAAGATATTATAATATAAATCATGTGGTCACCAGAATGTTTAATTAGTAATAAATAATATAGTTTCTAGAAAAAGAACAGAGGATACAATTTTTTGACATAATTACTAGTATATTAAATTTGTTTCTGTTCTTAAATATTAAATTTAATACAACTGATTTGTTTTTATTGAGAAATTAATAATGGAAATCGTAAAAAATAAAGAGAAAGACGGATATAGTTCTCTTTGTACTTATATAGTCCTCAATTCACCTTAAAGTGAACATTCTACTATATTACATATTACTATTAAAGAAAATATATCACTATTAAACAAAAACAAAGTACTAAATATATAAGAAACTTATCATATTTTTTATTTTTTTCTATCATATTTTTTATAAACCAGAAGTAGTTACAATTCCGAATATTTTTTTCTTTAATAATAATTATATCTTAAATAATAATAATTTATTAACGTTTAAATCCATCTTTTACTTATAGCTTTTTGCTAATAAATAAATAAAAGAACCAAAAAAGTTTCTAAATGAGAATTACATTTTACATACCTCTTCTTCTTTGATAGTTAGCTGTTCACTTCTTTGTGTCAAGTCTTCCAGCGCATTGATTAATTTTTCTTTTAGTACCTGGCAATCTTCTATTCGTTTTTTTAGGTCTTCTTCTAATTCAAACTTTTTTTTTAACCATTCATTTGACAATTTCTTTAAATGACGATCAGTTTTTTTCTTTAACTAGAAATAATAAATTTAATTTAAAAAGTTCATTAATTTTTATGTGAATAATGAATAAATTAATTACCAAATTATTGGACTGGCTATATAAATACTACTATTGAGGTCATTTTGATAAGGTAACTAAATCTTTTTACTTTTTATCTATTATTTTCTTACTATTACTGTCAATTTATTATCTATTACTTTTCTTTCTATCTATTATTTTTTACTTTTTATTTAGGTAACTAAATCTTTTATCAACAGTGGTATAAACATCAATTAACAGGTTAACTGACAAATTTTTATAGTGAAGAATATGGTACAATTCTTTATACAATACTGATAAGTTTAATATTTAATAAGTCTTTTATTTTCATTTGAATAAAAATTGTACATATATGTATATTTGAAGGCTAACAAATATTAATACATCTTGATTATTAATAAATCTTGTATATTATAGTTAAAAAATATTAATACAATATTATTAATACATTATTGTTATTATATTATTAATACAATATTTATACATTATGTTAAAATTTAAAAATAAAAGTTCTGTAAAACTGTAGTAGATTGCCTCAAGTATTTACTCCTTAATGTGACATTGAGTGAGGGAATGAGAAGGAGTGTATATGAATGTAGGGTTGAACTATGAATTGCACTCAATTGTGAAGTGGACAAGTTGTTTATAGAAAAGTATCAAATTGATAAACAATTGACAAAAAAGGTACAGTATTTTAAATCCATTGTCGTATAGATCAGGTTGCCGGGCAATGGGGGTACTGTGCACAGACGTTAGCCAGTTTGGCCACCCCGCCCATGCCACATTATGTATATATATATATATATACACATATTCTTATTATTTCTTGTCACTCAGTGTCACAAAAGCATTAGGTTCCCGAATTCCCAACAACAGCAAACACCCTCAAAGAGTTTATATCCAGTGCCAGAGTTTTGTTTTAAAATTAAAATTCATGAGTTTAAATAACCAAGATCCGCGATAAAACGGAAGGCTATTTACAATTGCCACCCAACAGGTTATTTATAAAACCTTTACTTGAAAAGTTGTAAGGGAAAAAGTTTTAGTACCAAAAGAACTGAAAAACTATCGACAATAAAAATTCCGGTATCAAAACTTTTTAAAATGATTTTTTTGTTCATTTCAAGCCCTGGTTTAGATAGAATTTTTTAAGTGACTTATTTTATTAATTATACTAAATTTTTTAAACTAATTTTGAGATTCAACATTTCTTATGGCACAGGTTATCTAGGATTGCTTTGGTGTCTATGAAGCATAATATTCATGTACGTTCAATCAAGAGGATGAAATGGCCGACCACGTTGGAGTATGGGTTCCAGAGTACATGGTTCTGAACGTTATGAGTTCAATTCCCCCCGGGTTGGTTACTTTTCATTTCTCAGCGGCCACGGGAAATGGATCGTGACATTCCCACTCTGCTAAGTATGCAGTGGCAACCTTAAAGTAGCTGACAGGGGTTGGCAAAAAGTACCACGATAGAGCCCGATTGCCGGACTAGTTCTCCCCACCAATAGCAGTACTAGTACCAGTAAGTTCAAACAAAAAACAAGCATGTATCTTCAATAATCTATGTTTCTGTGAACAATAACCTGTAAGAATTGAAGATTTGACAACGAACACAACTTTGTTAAAGACAAAGAATTGGATAGTATTGTGGTATTCCTAACGATTCTCTACGTCTGTACTTCCGCTTGACACTACTTTTTGAGACAGCCTAATATGATCATAACAATGCCAATTAGCTAATTAATTATGAATAGAGAGTACCTCAAATCGAAACATTTCCTGCTGTTTTTCTTTCCAATCTTCTAGTTCTTCACAAATTTTAATTGTAACTCCTTTAATCTCTTTTTTAGAATAATCTGAAATGTATGAAATTTGATTTAAAATTAACAATACACAATTATAATAATTCATCCCACAAAAATATCAATTGTGTTCAATAATATGACTTTCCTAATGACTTCAGGTGCCAATACAAAAATTCAATAAAAAGTATTATCTTCTTTAATATTGGAAATAAAAAGATTTTATTGATATTTTAATTATCAAAGTTTTGCTTTTAAAACAATTTAATCAATTTCAACAAAAATTTGATCAGTTTCAAATAAGCATATGGAATGTGGCAGAGAGATGTTTAGAACACTAGTTCTTTAATGAATTAAAGAAAAGTGGATGGACGTGGGAATCATCTGGAGTTGTAAAGAACAAAATAATTAGGTTCATTTAAAATCAGTATATAAAATACAGTAACTTTGATATTACTGGTCCAATTTTTCATTTGGTAGGATAGTAAAATCTTTTATAGACAAAAATCTAATGTGGAAGGGCTTTAATTAGAAGACTATTTGCTGGCCAGTTTCATCAAAATCGTTGAATCCACTTTGGCACTTCATTTTAAAAAAACAGAATTTTCTCCTATTGCGCATAGGGCATCCAAATTGGTGCATAATCATTGGTGGCTAGAGACTTAAAAAACAAATAAAGAAGGAACAAAATCAGTTCATCGATTCAAGATATAACCATGTCACAAATAATACACACAAGCAAAGACCAATGGCTGAAAATTTGGAAAGTTTTTGGACTCTAAAATGTATAGATATGTTTAAGTATAAATAAAAAATATGACACAATTACAATACCTTCTCTACCTAGTAGATGGTTCTAGATGGTCCTTCTCTACCTGGCTAATGGTTCGATTTCAATGAAACTTTTTGATTTTGTAGGAAATTTCAATACCTTTCAAAGGAGTTATATAAAATTTACTATAAAACGTATACGTTTTGAATTAAGACCAAACAAATATTTTCTTTTCTTAATCATTTTTTTCCAGTACGGTGGAATTTAAAAAAAAAAAATCAAAGCATTATTCCTGATTGCATTGAATCAATAAAAAAAAAAATAATACAAAAAAAAAATGAGAAATACGGCTCTGCATAAGGAAGCTTATACCTATTAGGGGTTCAACAGTTTACAAAAATTAAAATGGAATGATTATTTTTTAAAAAATACCTTTTCTGTTTGGTGAATCAAGGTCATCGTGAACAGCTATCTCTGAAGAATTTGAATGTTCTTGGTGAATATTTTGAACTATATTTTGTCTTGGTATGAAAGTATTTTCTTCAGCATGATTTGTAATAATCTGAAATTCATTTATTTTATTTTTTAATATGATCTTTAATACACATGTTATTATAGATAATATAGTTATGATTGCTATTACTGGTTCAGCAACGTTTTTATCAGAAAGTCCAGCTTCCTCAATATCTTCCTTATGACTGGCTAGACTGCTTTCATATCTGATTGAAGGTGGAGAAAACTGAGTTGCATTTCCTAATTAAATTTTCAGAATTAATAAATTGAGAAAATAATTAAAAATAACATAGAAAGTATCACTAGAAAATTAAACCTGATTCTTTTTCAAAATTGCAATCATAATTTGATTGAGTTTCTTGATCAACTTTAGTAGATATGAAATCTTTTTTATGGTATAGTTGAAATTCCATTTCTAAGAAGGGAAGATCAATATCTGAATGGAATTTACCTATTTCATCTACGGCATCAATTTGAATTTTGTCACTGATAGTAATATTCCTCTTTGTAGTTAAGTTGCCTAAAACCTTTTTCAACAGACCAAGTCTGCAATTGAAAATGTTTTCCAAAATGTAAAGAATTTGTAATATAAATTAACACATTATGTCTGCTGAGAAAGGGCATGAGCTATGCTTCTTTCCGAGACTGATGAATAAATAAACAGTAGAGAAATACCTGTAGATTCATAACAGCTGTTCCAACAATATCCTCTTCAGAATAAATCGATATAACAAGTTTTGGAAACTCTTTGAAATAAGCTGCAATAAAATGAAGTTGAGACCATATTTTTATTGAAATTCTTCCATTATTCATATTTTTTCTAAATACAGATAGATCTTTAGTAAAAAATGAATATCCAAATATAACGAAATTTGCTGTTATTGGTGAGTCAACTCTTTCCTTAGGCATAATCTAGAGTGTTTAAAAATAAATTAAAGATTTACTTGCCAATATAATTATACAAAATAAATGAAAACAAAATAAATTTGTAAAACTAAGAAACATGCATGATCACCACATACGTTCGATAAATTTCCAGCAGATACAACATTAATTGCTAACTCATAGAATTCAGTGCATAAATGCGGAGGCCCAATATGTAATTGGCCATGTAGATGATTTTGAAACATTTCAAGGCGTGAACTGTCTCCACATTGAAAGTTTGAATCAACTTTAACTTTTTCAAGAAGATCCTCCTAATACAGAGATAACAAGAAAACAAAAATTTAGAAACACCTTAACACAGTTTATAACAATAGAAAGTTTTAGTGAAATAACAGTCTATGTATATTTCTCAAAATTCAATGTAGATCAATAAAAGTTGACTCCTAATAAGGGTAATATCTTTTATTTTCTGGTAGTAAGGTAGAAAATTATTCTGTAAACTCTCATGGCATTATTATTTTAGTAAAATGTGAAATAGAAATTACTTAGAATGTTAATTCAATAAAAAATCCGATTAAATATAGCATAGACTGTTATTCGATTAAACCCTGCCATTTTATTAAGTAATATATATATATATATATATATATATATATATTTTAATGAATGTCGTAAATTAGTTATCAAATGGTATATTTATATATGTATTAAATAATATAAATAGATCAAAATAATACATTTAAAATCTGAATAACACAAAAGAACAGAAGAAAAGAAAAATAATAAATAAACACAAGCAGAAAACATCATGAAAAAGTAACAAAAAAATTAACCAACCTCATAAGAAGATTTCATTTTTATAGTTTCTTCTATTTTAAACTTTAATACAAGTTCTGGCTTATGTGCCTGAAACAAGTTTTTCATACCTAGTAGTCGATGCCTTGTTTCTGAAACCTAAACAATGTTTTTGAGAAATGTATTTATACTAAACAATGTATACATTTAAAATTGTTCATAAAACTACTGGTACTCACTGATTTGTGTTCATCATTAGTAACTATTTGAGCTTCCTTCAAATTCAATAATACATAACCTATCCGATCTCTTCTAGAATTTTGCTTATGATTATTTATGAAAGTGAAACATTCTAGCTTTAGTGCAGTATTGGCAGTTCTTAACCTGTAAATTAAATTGTAAATATATACAATCATTATTGTAAACAAGGACTAAGTAACAACTAATTAAACACTAATTATTGAAAGTTTTCAAATATGCTGAAAACATCACTGTCATGATAAAACGAAATCGTTAACATTTTTTGAATAGTTAGTATCAAACTGCCTGGGCACCGATCCTCATGATAGTCTATGAAAGAGTATCTAATCCTTTGATTGTTAATCATGATGAAGAAGTGCGTTAGTGAATAAAACTAGGAAATTTGTATTACATAATGACTATTTTAATCAAACCACCATCTAATTAAAATTGGCAAGTTTAGGAATTTATTATACCAAACTGAGAATACTAAAGGGTCAATGATGATGCTATATATTATTAATAATAAGAAATTAAAAGAACCTTCTCAAATATTTTGTATCAGCTTGCCAAATAAGTTCACTATCAAACTGTGGACAATTTGAAGGCAATATTTCTTTAGTTTCTAACTGAATGCCATTGAAAGAAGCCACAACAACCACAGGGTTTGTTAAAAATGTGAATCCATTACCTAAAATATCAATTATTAAATTGTATCCACAACAACATTTAGGGATAATAAACAATCTATTATTACCTTCCTTAATCTCCACAACAACCTGAGCTTTAGAAGTATGATAACAGTCCATTTAAATACAGGGTTCTAAAGAACCGTTGCATGTTTACAGTTCATTTTTAATCACTATGACAACAATCAGCTGACTGTCAATGCTTTGCATGTGTCACTTAAATTTTTGCTATGATTATGAATTTAATCATCACGCAAAAAATGTAAATAATTAGGGTCCAAACACATATAAAAATTAACAATCATTGTTCTGTAGTTATTTTTTGTAAAAGCATTACAAATGCAGCTTTCACATGCGTAAGTAATATAGTCCTTACGAGGAATAAAATGTCTGGTTTAAAAATTATTGCTTATATTCAGCTTAAAATGGGTTGCAAAATAATTGGGTAAACATTTTAATGAGGGATAAAGTTTTTAGTGAATTTATAAGTGTTTAATTGTTTTGTATTATGTGATAAAAAGTACAATGGTCAAATAATTAGCATTTATAATTTTCAATAATTATGAAATAATATACAAATGTTAAATATCATGGTATTATAAGGAAAATATCGTATAAACTTAAATTGTTACAACTCACATAGGGTGTATTAATCCGCGGGAAGTTGTGGTGGGGAGAACTATAAGGAACCATGGAATAATGGAGGTAGCAGTGTAATGTCTTGTGTCTAAGTATAAGTTGTTCAAAATTGACGTAATGTACAGATTAGTGGTGTTAGGAGTGATGTGATAGTATGTTTACATTATCATGGTTTGTGTGAGTGGAAGTGGTGATATTTTACGGCACAAGGCTACTCCAAACAATGTTTTCTGGGATCTTTTTTAGCCTAGGCCCCGGGCCTAATTGTGAAGAAAGCAGCCATTTGTTCTTCTGATAAGTTTGTTTTTATTTATACAGTGCTAAAATGCAGAAGAGGGAAGGACGAGATCCCGCCCGTGACAAGGAATCTCAGGAACAGGTTAAGAGGGCTTCTAAAACTAGTGCAGCCGGTAGATCGGGAATGCATTCCAGCCGTCATAGTGTGACAAGTTCTACTGGAGTTCTGATGGTTGGCCCTAATTTCAGAGTTGGAAAGAAGATAGGATGTGGAAATTTCGGGGAACTGAGATTAGGTAAGTGTTTTTATTAATATACTTAATATTTCTGCAAGCAATGTGTACTCAACTTTCTAAAAAATTTTACTATTAACTTCATTGTTGTTTTATTAATTGCGTTTGACTATTTTATATTAGTGTCATTGATTTCTTTTGTTTATAGTAGTCTAATTATACTCATTGACTGGCTTAGTATTTCTGATGTAGTAAAATTTTATATATTAATAGTAGTATTAGTAACTATGAGTATAACAATGTTTATCTTGAGTAAAATGTGTATTTTGTATTACTTAATGATCTGCAGTGCTTGTCTTTGTTTTCTCTTCTCATGTGTGGTTTAATTTTAGTGTACTTGCCATATTATTCTTAAAATGCCTAAATCTTATCATTTTAATGTAATATAATCTTTATTAATTTAAGAGTTCATTATCTTAATTCCATACAATATTATCAATAAGATATTTTGTCTTGCGAATTTATCTGTTTTTATACTCTTTGACGTCCATTCTAGTGTTGTTCGCTGTATTTTAATTTGTATTCATGGTACAAATTAGCTAAAATATTTATTGTTATTTTAGAGTTGTCAAATAACTATTCATATAGTGTTTACTATGTTATATTCCCCCCAATGAAACAAAAAAGCCCACCATAACTGCTTTTGATTATATATTTTATAAGTCAGAAATTTAATTTATTTTCAATCAAAGTAATATGTTCTAATCATATTACTAATTTAATTTCAATGTTATTATTACCTCTGGTTTTTATAAATTTTATTAATATTTTTTCAATTTTTCCATGTCTATCATCACAGTAAACTCTGATTGCTGTTAATGTTAATAATTCTTAAGTTTTGATTGATAAATTTTTCAATGGCTTTTATTGATATGGACCTGAATTCAAATTTTGTTTTTAGCTTATTTGATCAATTATGTAAACCCCATTAGATGAATGACAGTTTGCTTATACTTTATCTATTTTAAATCTACTATACATCCTTAATTTAGTTGTAAATCTTTCTAGCAATATATGAGTAACTAATTTGCAAGTTATAATTGGGAGAATTTTTCATTTAACCAAATGCGTATAGAAGTTAAATGAAATACTTTATTGAAGGAAGCTAGTCGACTGTTCTACATATTACTAAATACTAAATACTTTAATTTCTAACTGCCTTAACTTGAAACAAATTGTTTGCTTTTTTAACCTAAATATCTGTTTTATGGATTTATGTTGAATTCCATTGGTTTTATGTTGTTTTTTTGTCTCAAGTAGATTAAATATTTTCAATTATGATTTTAACTATCCACTTTATCATGCATTAGTATTAGTCCCATCTTCAACTTAAGTATTTTATTTTTTTTTCAGGATCCCATTTTTATTTTATTGGATATTAAATCATTTTATTTGCTTCAATAACAATTATTGTATATTGTATTGTTTTCTTGTAGTGTTTAAATGTAGGTGATCATCTATAATGTGAAGGATAACATGTCATCTACTAATTACAATCAATCAAACTATTATGACTTTTGTTCAAAATCAAATAAATAAATTTTAAGTGGTAAATACTTCCTTTTCTTTTGTTAGCTATTGTTCAACACTAAAATGTAATTATAAGCAGTGTGTGCATTAAATCTATTACATTGCATCTTTGTCTCCTTTTTTTTCTAATGTGGCACTATGAATTACAAATATGTCCTACCTGAAAACAGCTTCTTTTGTAGCATTGACCACCAGTAATCCCTCATCTCTGCTGCCGCTTTCTACTTTCAGATCTTTCACATGTTCCTCAGAGCACCCAAACTTATTCCCTGTCCGCGATTACAAAGGGACAGAAACCACAGGGTGTCTACTATGATGCCTTAGTCTGTAGCTTATTGAATTTAGTGAGCTGTATGTGGTATAAATGTGTGAGCCAATGTATTGTTCCCCGAACCTGGAGGACCACTAGCTGTCTTTATTTTTATCTAGTCCTTCCGCGCCTTTTAGGCTATATGAAATGGGATATTAATGCCAGAGTTAAAAGTTCCCCCTTATCAGGTTGTCGGGCAATGCATGTTTTGCACATGCATTAGTCCACTCAGCTACCCTGGCCCTGACCACTACTTCTCTGCATTCAATGGCCAGATGACATGGTTGCCATGTCCTTTATCTAGTATCATCATTTGAAGTAAATCTTTTTCTTTATTTTCTATTATCTCCTTCATGCTGTAAAGCATGGAGATGGCGGTGTTAGATGTATCAGCCCATCGGATTTCATCTGATGCCAACCCTCATATCTCTAGCTTAGCGCTTTCTCTCACTTTAAGTCATGGATGTCTACAAAGGAAGTCTCACTATAGTTCGTGAGTTCAGCCTGCTTTGAGACTTCATTACCTTCTTTTTGTCTTAGATTTATAAAGCCTCTGGCTCCTGGATTGTTTGTCATTACGCTACAAGGCTGTTTGGTTGCTGTGTCCTTTTTCACTTGCGTTGCACACCTAATTTCTGTAAAGTTACAATGCTAACTCTTTTTATTATAATTTAGCTGACTATTTATTTTTGATAATTCTTTTCCTTATATGTTATTGTGTTCATTTACTTGAAAGAAAAGGTTTATTTATCTGAATTTCGCTGGAAGATATACAGGTTGGTAAATAATCTCAAGTCTAATATATGACTCTTTGAGAACTTGAGTGACCAACCTCACCAGCTTGGATTTTGTGAAAAACATTAGATGATTTTACAAATTTTTGTCAACTGCTATAGACCAACTTTGAAACGGAATCCATACATCGTTGCCATTTTAAGTTTAGTAGGTGTGATATAAAAAAAAGTATTAATATTATGGCATAACATGTTTTGTTCCTTCAAAATCAATGAAGGATATGGTCCAGAGTGACGCTCATAAATAGACTAAATAGTGGCAAAACTATTTTATTAAAAACTAATGTTTTGACCCGACTTCTTTAGTTCTTCTTCAGAAAGGTGTGTTCAGCAAGGAGTTTCACTTAGAACTCCTTGCTGAACACACCTCCCTGAAGAATACCTGCAAATTTGGGTTGAAACATTGACTTTTCATAAAATAGTTTTGCCACTATTTAGTCTATTTATGACCGCCACCCCAGACCATCTTCTTTCTTAATAATACAACGTTCAACTATTAAGTATTCAATATTCTTCAAAATCAGTTTTCATAACAATACGGTTTCGGGTATTCTAGTTCTCACTTCCTCATATCTGAATCTGTTATTTCTACTTGCTTTTAAAATTGAGAATAATTTATGAATCGTAGGTATTATTGGTATGTTTTCCGGATTGTATTGCTAATTAATTTATCTCTATATCTATCAAGGTTGTAACCTTATGGTTTATTAAGTTTAAAGTGTCCAGAAGTAATGGCAAGGTGTTTTATGTTAACGCTGGTGTTTTATTTTATTTCAGTTAGCTTGTAGAATCCTTGCTGCTTTAAATATCCTTTAAGCCAGCAGTGCCTATTGCTGACTATTATTTTCAATATACTATGTGTTGCTCACTGGTATATTTATTTTCACCTTTCACTGATTGGTATGTAGTCGATTACTAATTTGCTACCCACTGGATTTACCACAAAGCCGCCTATGGTGTTCTTAGCATTACAGCATCCATTTGTAACTTTTATGCCCTATATTTCCTAAAATGAACTAAACAAAAAAAAAAAAAAATCTGAAACAACTAATAACTAAAGAGTATAAAAAGTAGTATTGCTATAAAAAATATGAATATTCTGTTATTCATTCATCATTGTTATTCGGAGGGAGCTTTGTCCCAGAATAAAGTTTCATTTCTATTCTAAAATAAAAATAACATGCTTATTAATTTTAATATTAAATTGCTTATTAAAGTATTTCTATTAAAATGTTTATTATTTTGGCACCTCTTCTGGCAATTGTCCACACTTCACAGTTAGGAATCCGCAGCATTTATGGATCTGTAGTTGTTGAACGATCTCATGGCTGGCTTATCTCCTTCAAGGCTATTAGCTATGTAATATAACTTTCTTACTTTATTTTTTTATTGTTTATTTTAAGGTTCATTACTGTATTATAGCAGGCCACTTTCCAAGGCTAGTTTTAGGTTTTATTGCACAATTTTTTTTAGTAGACATAATGTTAGTTCATTGTGCGATGGATGTCTTTTAATTAGAGGGATAGGAGTTATGTTAGATGCATAAGGTTCTTAAAATTTTAGTTTGTTAGATGTTCGATTAAGATTAGGACATTAAGTGAACCCAAATTTAACAAAGGATTTAGAAAGATCCAGGGATTACCTAGGTTTTGAAGTTCAAGTTTGGGAATGTCGCTTGAGTTGATTTTTATGACAACAATTAAAGATATTTGGTGTCTTTAAGTGTTTATTCTAATACCAGAGTCATATCAACAATAGGTATTCGGTATCACTGCATTATGTGATGAATTAAGCTTGTGACGGTCAAGTTTTGCATGTGTAACAAAATAGTATTGTTTCATGGTTAAAGTCTTCTAAGCAATTCAATTAATTAGAATCTAGTTGTGATTTAACATGTCATAATATAGCTAGCTCAATTTTATCATTTGAAACATAAATTTTTTGATTAATCCTATGAAACTTGAATGAATATAATTAAATTCCATTAATTAAACAAAATATGTTTCTTGGCAGGGACTAAGCAATTTTTTTTTTCATCTACATGGAACAAAAAACTACTCTTCTATCTGCTCGAAAACTTGAGCTTTAAAAGGAAATTAATTCTGGGAAAGAAGTAATTCTGTATATTTTAACTAGCCGAAAATTTAATATATATTGAAGAACTTTAGTTTATTTGTGAATTTGTATTCCTCGGAGGTTTCATATCATTAGTTTCAAAGTGTTGATCTCTAAACATATATTGAAGCGACGCGTTTATCAATTAATGAATTGTTCAAATATTCATCCAATGGTTTATCAATTTATTTACTGGAAACTTATAATTTCTGAGATATTAACCATTCAAATAGTTTATCAATTAATGAATTGTT